GTAGTGATCCAAGTGTCCTGAAGCCCCGACATAAAAAGTTGTTTGGAAAAACCTCATTTGAACTCTGTTTTTAGCCTCATTGTAGCCTGTAGCTCTGACTGCCTCTCTGTGTACACCAAGCGCGAGACCAGCGAAAGCATGTGAACACACATGAAGGCGGTGCCCATGTCTCACGGTCTCGCACAAGCGCACACACGTGAGTGCGGTGCACAGAGAGGCAGTCAGAGCTACAGGCTACAATGAGGCTAAAACCAGAGTTCAAATGAGGTTTTTCCAAACAACTTTTTATGTCGGGGCTTCAGGACACTTGGATCACTACGGACGAGCAGTATGAAGATATTTTGTGTTTTTGGACGTTTGAATCTGGGGCGCCGTCAGCCTCCATTAGGTGGAGTTGTGATGCTACCTCCTCTCCCCTTGGATCTCTGCAAGTGATGTGAGGAGTCTAAAACTTCACCTGAGCCTCCCTCGGCATATGGGTGAGTAGATAATGGCTGAATCTTCATTTTTGGGTGCACTATCCCTTAAGACTGGAAAGTTACTAACATGGAATAAAAAGCGATTAAGTGTGTACAAAACGTGTTTGGGGTGACAGTAATATACATTTAAGCAGGACTAAAGTAACCTAACACTTTACCAACAGGACTTTGGGTGATGTTATCACATTTACAAAGTCACATAACGCGTTACCACCTGGAAACTGTTTTTTCATCTTTTATTCATCCACACTGCTCCACTTCCACCAGTGCGCCACCAGAAAAAAAAAATCCCTGAAGATTGTTGTGTCATATTACAGACTGCATTTTAGAAGGGCGCCACTAGTGATGACACGTCTGGGTGATGCCACACCTTGCATATCATGTTCAATGTGTTTTCATTTATATACCTACAATGCATCCCGTTCTGCTTGAGTCCCGAGGCTGTCTGAAAGCAGCGTGGATAAGGAGCGGGCTTTTGGTGTGTTTTTTTCCTCATCCTGGTGATCAACACATCTGGGTTTTGCCACTGTATGTTTTGCAGGTGGTAATGTAGTAGATCTAGTTAGTTAGTCGATTTTTTTGTCTTTAACATGATCCTTATCCTCCTTCGTAATCATGGAACATCACACTGACTGAAATTATTTACATGCTTAGGTTTTGATTGTAACGAATGCTTTTAATTCTCCAGGAGGGTTCATTTTCAGAAACATCACTGTGACCTCTGCTGCTGCTCTAAAGGTTATAACTACAAGACTGCAAGAACAATCAGTTAACAGCACAACTGAAAAAGTCTTTCCTACCCAGGTAACCTCACACCAGATATTTCCTTGCTGTTAATGAAGCATTTTAATGTTGGTTCAAACTGTTGTTGTACAAATTGAACAAAGACATGTTTACTCCGGCTACGGTGTTTGTCAGTAAAAATGCAACATACATGTGACTGCAGCAGGAATATTAATCCAAACACATTATATATAATATTAAGACACGAACAGGGAACATTTTGATCCACAGTTAATACTTTTACATTTAATATTGTAAATAAAGTTTGCTTTATAATACTTGCATACTTTACTTAAGTAGGGTTTTTGAATACTGGACTTTTATCACTGACTTTAGCTTGACGTGTAGTTGAGTAGTTTTCAGTGTAACGTTAGTACTTTTAATTCAGTAAAGGATCCGGATACCTTTTCCACCACTGTGTAGCCTACATACAGATAACTCCGTCCAGCTCTGACTCAGTGACACATTAACTTTTAATAAATGAATAAATGAACCGACCCGTTTAAGGCAGCTGAGGGCCTGAACAGCTAACAGCTAACCAAAACAACGCAACCGGACACGACGGAAGCTCCCGTCGTTACTTTAAAAGGAACTACTTGCATCTAAACTAACTTCCTGCTAACACCTGTTCAAACTTCATTTGCCGACAACCAGCTAACCTTAGCACTAGCATTTAGCAGCTGTTCCGCCGAGGAGAGTTAGCTAAAGACGCTAGCCGACGCTAGCTAACTGTGCTAGCTAACCGTGTTACTCTTCCACCTTAAGTTTACTGCTTCTAAAAACCGTTTGTTTCAATGACTGTCAAGTTTGTTAAAGAGACTTTAATCAGGTACAAACCGATGACAAGATCTGAAATTATGTGTTTGAAATTAACGTTAACTTACCACATTTAAGAACTTTGTGAGTTTGCGACGCACACGTTCCGCAGTTTTAAAACACGACGAAGCACTTCCGGTTAGAGCGGAAACACCGATCACGTGACGGCGGTAAACTAAAATAAAGTAAAATAAAATAAATCCAAATTAAAATACAACAATGTGAAATAAAATAAATGAAAAACGAAACTAAACCAAACGAAACTGAAATAAAATAAAAAATAAAAACTTATTTTAAGAACTTTTAATACAAATAAATTTAGTACAAAAAAAGTAATTGTAATCAGGCCAAGTTATTGAGGGAAAATATTTAATTAAATTACAGCTACTGATCAAAATGTTGGTGATGACAAAGGGGTTACATGCAAATATAATATTTTCAATAAAAATGTTCGAATATAACATTCATTCTTTTGTTGCATCTTTCTGCTTTGCAGGAGTGCCTTATCTTTGTCTTGGCGTATTTCCAGATGTTTATCAAAAAGTAATCAATATGATAACTTACATTACTTTGATGAAGGATTTAAAATAGTTACATTACAGGTTACATTTTTAACAGGGTAACTAGTAATCTGATACCAATTACATTTCAAAAGTAACCTTCACAACACTGCGTATCGGTGGTGGGAGACGATCCTTTGCTGGTGTAAAAGTACCAGTACAGCATTGTGAAAATCTTCCTGAATTCAAAGGAAAAGGAAATGTAGGCGAAGAATTATCAGTAAAATGTAATGATTGATTGTGCATTGTGTTAGCAGTTGAACTGTACAGTTTTTCAGTAAAAGTATTTGGTTACATTCCACCACCATAACATATCACACATTCATCTTATCTTTTAAACTTAGGGCCCCTGAGAGGTTTTAATTTGGTGCGTTAGATGAGTAACAGTGACACCTGCTGGTCTCCTGATGAACAGGCTGTGATGACTGCAGTGGAGAGAGCTCTGTGAGAGGACAATGGGTGCATGGCAGCTACATTTGTATTGGTACGTGTGCTCCAGAGATTCTACAGACTTATAAATACTCTGTAAGTTTGTTTGTCGGTTTTTAATTTCCTCAAGGAGAAACAAACCAAAGTACTTTGTTGACTGAGGTCTTATACAGGGGCAGTGCTTTCACACCTTTAAAGTTATTGTTTTTGTCCTCTGCAGTGTTGCTGGATATCTTTAGTCTGATCAGCTGATTATTATACAAGTCATTTTCTGCCTATTTACAGTGAAGCAAGACCCAGTAGATACAAGTTAGGATGTGCACACAGCCACTGTTCTGATCCAGAGTCCAGAATGTCTGGCAAAATCTGAGTTACACCTGCTGTGTGTGTCGTGTTCACTTAATGAGATGCTTCATGTTGAAGATGCCGTGAACATTTATCATTATGTATGACTTGAATTTCAGGTTTAAGGGAGAAACTTACTGAAGATGTTGCACAAAGGTACAGGGTTGAACATCACACACTGCCAAGAAACATTTCCAACACATAACTCTGAGAAAACTAGAATTACCACCTCACGGTTGTGTGCCTCCACCAACCAGTGAAGCATCTGCAGCATAGATCCATGACAATGGATGCCTCACACACACCTTCCCTCGACAGCACAAATGATCTATACAATCAGCAGTGTCAAGATGGACACCCAAAATTAGAGTCATCAATTCAGTATCTGACCAAATGTCTGCCGCTCTGTTTCTGAGATATGACGCTGAGTAATGGACAGAAAAGTGTTCTTGTAGAACATTATGATGTCACAGAAAAGTTGACCTTTGACCTTTTGGATATAAAATGTCATCACTTCATCATTTTATCCTGTTAGACATTTGTGTGAACTTTTGTCATAATTAATGTATGAATTCTTAAGTTATGGCCAAAAACATGTTTTGTGAGGTCACAGTGACCTTGATCCTTGACCTTCGATCACCATATTCTAATCAGTTTATTCTTGAGTCCATGTTGGTGTTAGATTTTGAGGATGTTTGTGGTAAATTTGAAGAAACTAGAGGCCTTCTTGAGATATCGTATTCACGAGAATAAGACAGATGCGAGGTCACAGTGACCTTTGACTACCAAATACTAATCAGTTAATTGTTAAGTCTAAGTGGATGTTTGTGTCAAATTTAAAGAAATTCCCTTGAATTGTTCTTGAGATATCATGCTCATGAGAATGCAAGAGATGCAAGGTCACAGTGAGATGGACCATTGACCTATGACCCAAATTCTGATCAGATCATTCTTCAGTCCAAGTGAATGTTTGTGCCAATTTTAAGAAATTCCCTTGAGGAGAATGAGATGGATGCAAGGTCAAAGCAACCTCTACTGCTCTCAACTCGCAGATCTGAGATTGATATCCATCAAGCATCGCGCTCTCAGAAAGAAAGCAAAAATTGTATTTCTTTAAGTGCTCCTAAGTGCTACATCGTTGGCAACTGGACTTACTTGAGTTTCCTGAAGATATTTCGCCTCTCATCCAAGAAGCTCCCTCACTTCTGAAGAAGCCCAGAACTGAAGAAGCCTCTTGGATGAGAGGTGAAAAGTCTTCAAAAAACTCAAGTAAGTCCAGTTGCCTGCGATATAGCACAGGTACCATGACCTGGATGACTGAGAATCTTCACTTCCTGAAGTGTTGCTGGTTCCTTTTATCTTGTGATTGTTGTTTATTTCACAATGTTGTTTCTGAACCACTAAACATTATCATCATCATCAACACAGTGTATTGTTAAGGTAGTGTCGTGTATGTGTGCGTGCACCATCAGCCAAACAAAACAGGACACGTCTTTCCATCAACATGAACAGATTTTTTATATCTTTAGAGCAATAAATATTTCCACTTTTTCCATATCTCTGCAATTTCAAAAACAAAGTACAAGTAATATATATTTATATACACAGCTAAAATTTTCCATACATAATTTTTAAAATAATGTCGTCTCTGTTGACACATATTTGACACTGTACTCATACAATTTTACAAGGACTATTCCAGTCTCTCTTTGCTCTACATTATAAACAAGAAATATTGTTCTCCACAAAGCGGTCCATTGTGTTGTTACGTACAACATAGACCCAGGTCCATCGCCCTTGTATAGATACACACAACACAGACTGCCTTTACACAGGAACAGAAGGATCCAACATCTTTAACTTTATTTGAACCAGATCTGATGTGCTTTAATTTTTTTTTTAAAAGTGTTCCCTGTTTTGCCGGCAGCAGTCAGACCAGATCTGTTTCCGTTGGCGTTAAAAAACAGATCTTCCATTCCTGGTGTAAACCCAGCCACACACAAACTGCCCTCTGTGGAGCAAAGTGAGTACTCGCATTGTTATTTTTCATATAACGATGGTTATGTACATTCATGTTTATAATACAGTTTCATTCAGTGCAGATACTGTAATAAATACCACATGCAAACCAATAGTGGAGAGCAGGCCCGGGCAGAAAAAATTAAACAAAACAACATATTTAAATTAAGCATTTAAAGAACCATACCTGTGTTTTTGTATGTTTTAAACTGCACATACTGTACATCACTTCTGCAAACCATGTAATACATTTTAGACTGATTTCTCATGTTCCGGGAGGCCATTTTGTTTTATTTCAATGAAGATCTACTTGTGGAGAATTAGAAAGGTTGTTGTTCTGCAACCAACTGTCAAATCTCAACTGTCTCAACGGTCTTTGCGGTCCAAAGATATTTTGTTGGAAACACAGACAAAACTAGATCTCCTTGTGGGTTTACCGGGGTCCAAGTACACAACTCAAATTGGATACAAAGTTGGACAGTTTCACCAGGAGGCCAAGATTATGGCAGCCTCAGACATCCTCCAGCAGTGAACACTGCCAGGATCTGCTCCAGCCTGCTGATGATAAAAAAAAAAGCAAAAGCAATACAGTTCCAACACCATTGGTGCTTGGAACAGATGTTGACAGTGACGAATTATCTACCTACAGGAAGTGTCAAGTCTCTCAAGATTGACACCAAAATGAAGATCTGTCCAATGGATACACACCTAAAAGTTGAAGGAATATTTGGAAAATGGTTGGCAGCAGTGTAGAGTACATACAGTTTTTAGCTGATAGGCTACAACATGCAGAATCACGGGTATGGAGCTTTAAAACTGGAACTTTGAAGATGTGCTTGATTCAGCTCGGGCACGCAGTGGAACAGGGTGTCATGTTGTGTAATTCCGTGCGAGGTAGGTTTGATCCAGTGCTCCTCGAGAACTTTGTTTTGTTATTTCAAGTGTTTGGTTAGTTGTTTTATTCTGAATGAGACATGGTGTTACTGTACGTGTTTCCAGAGGTGATTGCAGATACATGATGGGGACCCAACGGTCCACAATTCTTAGCAGCTCAGCATATATTGTTTATTTGTATGGTTTGAAAAGGTTGCCTGGTAGCAGAAGTGTTGCTTGTTTCCATTAAAAGGTTGGTGAGAGGCTTCGCTGAGGCTCTGTGATGATTCAGAGGTGTGTGTTGGCGAACGCATGCTGGGGTGAGTGAAAGTAATTATCACAGTCTGTATTAAAAATATTCAAACATATTAGTTGTATGTTAGTCACAGAAAATTCTTGGTTTTGTTGTAAACATATTAAAAATTAAAAAGGTTTTAGTACTTCCATAAGATGCCCAAATCAGAAAAGAAAAAAAAGATCATCTCACACTCGTAAGCACATAACAAAATTAAAAATGCTAAAAATACAAAACAGCCCAAGGAGTACGTTATGTTAGTAGAAGCTTGTCACACAACAATATTGATAATAATATCAGTAGCACACTCTAAAAAGTCAAAGGGGTTCTTCAGTTTGAAAATAGGGGACCCGAGATGGTTCCCTGAGGAACTCCGTCAGTTGATTATGATCCATGACGGTGTTTCCACGAACCGCAAAAACAAAAGGCTTCTACAAAAAACATTTAAGGGATTTTTATTGTTAGTTTATCTAGAGAGGAACCCGGAGTTGCTCAAATAGCCTGAAGAACCCTGATGAACGTTTGGTTTTTAGAGCATACATTTTGTTAATTCAAGCAATTCTGAACCTCAGTTACAGATCAATGCTGTTGGCCCCATTGAAAATAGAACACACTGTACAGTTAATATCTACAGATGGCGCATTCACGTAATCACAAGGAAACTAAAAATCATGTCATTTGCATTCAGAACATCAGAGGACTTTCTCATCATCCACCAGATAAACGCTGGTAAATATTTATATGAGGCTGACAAAACCTGCCACTTGGACAGGAAAGCAACAAGCACTGAGAGGTTTGTTTCTAGTCAAAAAGTACAAATGGCTGGTAAAATAGTTCAAATGGTCGAAGAACTTTCTATCAGCCATCGTGGGCATCCTGCCCTGACATCCGGCGATCTTGATCAGATGGAGAGAGCTAGAAAATACACTTTAATACTGGCATGGTAGGTTCAACACAAAGTGCAAAAATAATGTGTAAAAATGAGTTTGTTCAAGAATCACTTAGTGCTGCGTGATGGTGAAAGATACTGTACTCTGCACTTAAGTCCTGTGAGATGTTAGCAAGTCCTTCGAGATGAATTAGGTCCAGTTTTCAGGTTCCTTTGTGTCTTTGTCGGATGACGAGGGAGACGAGGGTCTCAGTCCTTCAGCCAGATTTTCAATAATGCAGTAAATGGCTTGATGTTTCTTGTTCTGAGTGGATACAATCAATCAATATATTACCAGTTTAGATGCTGAATTGTCTTTATATTTAAAGGAGGTCGTTCTTGAACATTATTTCTTATGATCATTTTATGTCGCACCATCCCTCCGTCTGAAGGCACCATATTCTCTATTTTGCAACACAAGCAGTGAAAGTGGGATTAAAGTTTTTTCACCATAAAGGTCACCAGAAACGTTTTGAAGTTTTCACATCCTATTAGGAGAAAATACCACAGTTTGAACTGGGTGGGAAATTAATTATTTTTCATTAGCCAAACATGTCTGTCTGCAACTGGTGAAATAAGGCTGGGCATGCTTTTGCAATCATCCTTTCAGACATTTCTGTGTCTTTCCAAAGGCTTAAAATGGAAGCCAATAGTAGTGTGGTTACTGCTAAATGTTTGAGAGTATTGTTAGGGATGTACGATATCCGACAACTTATTTGGCCGATAACCAATACTGATATTGATAGATCCCCACCTAATGTTACTGATCATCAAGTCTCTTCTGTAGTGGAATTAACATCATATTATACATGCATACTCTTATCATGACGGCCCACCAGCAGATGGAGACATGAAATATGAGAATTTTCAATGGCTGTAATATTCATCCATTGTGCAAAATAAGAAAGATCATGTTGGCCAATACTGATGATGTGCCAATATTATCATGCATCCCTTGTATCCATGAAAACAACACTACAAAAAGGTTCAACAGAATAAAATTGTAACTTATCTGGCTAAGAATTCTTTTTTCGTTACCTCAGAATGAGCCATTTATACCCACATCATGGATGTATAATTAGATCTGAATGAGAAGTTTCTAGCTTCCAGAATCACTTCCAGTGTATGCGGCCCACTGAAATTGCATTTCTTGGCTTGATGAAAATTCTGCAAAAATAATATTCATAATAGACAGAAACCTTGTTTGCAGTTCAAGGTGTCCTGTCAACAGTTACAGAAATCTCTTTTATAACGGTGGTCTATGGGGAAATTGCTGTTACGGGCTGCAGGAAAGTTTTTTCACTGCAATACTGCAAATGGCTGCTGGGAAAAAGCTGAGTGGCGTTCCTGGGAGCCTGATCTACATATGCAGCAAGTCCTCTTCCACAAACTCTGCCATGTTGTTTCTACAGTAGCCCAGAACAGACAAACCAAATGTTGGGTGTAGACAGAGCCACTTGCATTCTTGCATCGCCTACTGTAGTTCTCCTACACGCTCAGCCAAAGTTTCCATTGGTTGCAATCTGCAGCCTCACCACTAGATGCCACTAATTCCCACACACTGGAACATGAAATGTTCCATATCCTTAACATCATTAACCAACACTTCTTTTTAAAGAAGATGATGATACTGTAAGGACAATGTGAAGCTGAGACAACAAGGTATTGAAGCGTCATCTTGGGATAAATTATTAAATCTGAGCACCACAAAAGCATGATTCATATTTTAATTTTCAAATGCTGATAAATTGATTGTTGAGCTGAAATTACTTGCAACCAAAAACCAGTCTTGGCCCCCGATAGAAAAATATTTTTGGTACCTATACATTATGTGCATGTACATTAGCTGACACCAATGCGAATGATCATGTATTCGTTGCATCTATCTGATCTGGAAAAGCTATCTGTCCTCCTTCCTTTCACTTTTTTTTTTTAAGTTTTTGGTGGACTTTTTTATGATCTGATGTCATACAAATGGTTCAGGCTTCAGACAATTACAGTCTCTCAGCTAATGACTCATACAAAGCTGTTTTGGGAGTTTTGTTGGGATGATGCGCAATTCTGATTTTCTAAACTGAATATAACCTTTTTAAACTTAATTTCCCACCCAGTTCCTTTTTCTTATTCAGTGTTCTACTTGTTGAGAATTGTGTGTGTTACATTATAAGAAGATATTGTTTAATATAACACTTTATTCATCTCCCCAGCTTTATCAAAGGCAGAAAAGCCAGTGAAACAAAATACTCTGTTTCCCAGACTGCACCCTGTTTGGCACCTTTTAGCGTATTCTCCTTCTCCAGCAAGATAAAGGGTCACATACAATATGCATCATGAAATACAGTTGAAACATATTATAATTTCTGACTAATTTAGGTTTATACTTTCAGATATACTGGGACACTATCAGGGGAGCATTCACTGATTTTGTATAAATTATCAAATGAATAAAGAATAAATTATTGGGAAAACTGTCCAATGTCAACAATCCTTATTTTAAAGTCCCAATCCAAGACAACAACACAGCGCCCCCTGCTGAAACCCTGTGATCCACAAACACTAAAGGCTTTAAGCAATTTTTGCAAAACACAAAGGTAAAAAGACACCTGTAGTTTTTGTTATGATGGCTTATTTAAAGTCTTTAAAAAAGTTTACTGTAGAAAGTAAAGTCTTCAGTAACCTTCACTAATGCACTTTTCACGGTCAAATAAATGCTGGATTGGGGCTTTAAATTACAACAAATCCCTCCCCCTGCATATAGTATTTCAACCATAGACACACTGACACTCATTAGCTATTGCACAGGTCATGCATGCCTGTCTAAGACACAGAAACTGCACCATAATAATGCTAACCACCTCTCAGTTACACCTCATGGCTTGTAATATGTCAACAACCAAAACAATGGTACAAGTGCTTCTTGTGCAGAAAACAAAGTGGTGCAAGACTAGTGTGATTTTTGGAATATAGTAAAAGGACTCGTCGCGTTCTCAGGCTTCCTAAAAGCCTGAACTGTCCCATCGACCAATACCGTACATACTGTTAGCATCGAGCGCTAACCCTTGTCTTAAATTCACAGGCACTGTTCCCTTCACGTCTGGTCCCTGAACCATTTGTCCACTACAGCAACGCACAATTCTTACTCACGATTTGACACGAACACTTCCTCTGCAAGTCAAGAACTACACAAGTGTCCTCTTGGCCACCTCTGAAGGGCACTGCGAAAGGAAGATGGAGGAGATTTTCACCAAGATGGCAGGACTTCCAGTATGTGGGAGTTTGTCTTCAGCTTTGAGTGACTGAAAACGCCGTGATTTACGTTCTTGGTGTGGTCACTCAGGTTTCCCAGGAGCCCCAACGGGGAACAAGTTGCCCAACAAACGTCTTTCAGTAAGTATGAGAGTCTTTCTACCTGCGGGGGAAGTGGATGTGAAAATAACACAGGCTGAGTAGTTTCCTCCTCCCCGCTCTCAGTGCTCTCTTCCTCACTAGGCGGCCATTTTGATACGTCTGCATTTGCCCTCCTCCTCTCCTCCTCCCTCTCCTGCTCCCTCTCACGACCGCCCCCCGGTGGCTCGCTGCGGGGTGGCGGACCACCGTCCGCTTCTGCCTCCTCACACGACCGTGCTGATCCGGCTGACGGGTTTCGATTTGGGGCCGCCCCCTTGCCCTGCCCCCGCCCCTGGGTGCAGGGAGTGCTGGGCGTTGGACGGGGGTGGTAGGGGGGAGTGTGGAGGGGGAGGTGGGATGGAGGAGATTGGCGGATATTGGGGCGCGTAGGGCTGCGGAGGTGTCTGGGTGACGAGGCGCGCCGAGGGTGTCTGGGGAGGTGGGGTGGAGAAGATGAAGTGGGTGGAGGGGGAGGCGGAGGGGGAGGGGCTGAGGGGGGAGTGTGTGTGCACGACGTGGTTGTGAGAGTGTGTGTGAGCGTGGGGGTGGGGCTGGGAGTGCGAGATGGTCAGCGGGAGCTTGCCGCCTCCACCCGGCCTCGGGTGCGAGTGGTAGAGTCCGTGCGGGGTAGTAGGGGTTACGGGGGAGTGTGGCGACAGGGGCGGCGGCGTGATGAAGCCCAGGTTGTAGCGGGGGTGCTGGCCGACACCGTGTTGCATCCTCTGATGCTGCTGGGTATGAGAGGGAACGCAGCCGGACGGACCCTGCCGCTGGGGTGCAGAGAACCTGTGCGTGAGGGCGTGGTGCTGGGGCATGTTCTGCATGTGGTAGCGGTGATGGTGGTGGTAGGGTGGGGGCGGTGTCTGCTGCTGCTGATGCCCAGTAACACTGACTCCTCCTCCTCCACTGTTGCCGTGGCAATACTGAGCGTGCAAAGCCTGGAGCTTGGTAGGCCCCCCTCCCGTACCTCCTCCCCCTCCAACTCCTCCCGAGTCCGACTGCACGAGGTTGGGCGATGGGGAGGGGCATGGGGAAGGGGAGGATGGGTGGGGGATGGGAGGCGCGGGGGCGGGGTAATGGGGGGGTGATGATATCATCAGGGGACTCGGAGGACCCTGAGGAGTTGGTGACGTCATCGTCAGGGGACCAGGAACTTTGCCTCTGCGGCTGCCGAAGAAATTCCCCAGCAGGCCGCCGCCAGTCGGTCCGCCCCCACCCGCCATCCCTCCTCCGGCCCCAGCCCCTCCCCCGCTCACGAGTGGGGAGGTGGTGATCCCCCCCTGATTGTGACAGAGCCCCGGCCCACCCCCCACCCCTGTACCGGGGCTCTGAGTAGGGCGGTGTGGCCGGTAGGCTGCTGGAGACGAAGGTACCATCATGGGGCTGTAGGATAGACCCCCAGCAAGCAGGGGGCGCTGCTGGTGAGGCCGAGGGCTGCTAATAATGGAACCCTGAGAGGAGGAGGAGGGAGGAGAAGAAAAGGAGTGTGATGGGAGAGGGAGGAGAAGGACAAAGACAGGCGGAAAGAGAATGAAATACAGAAGCAGACTGGCTTCTAATTAGTTTACAATATTTAAAAAGGAAGCCAACCAGTGGTTTTGGTTAAAAGATTTAGATTAGTTCAATATCAACTTGGCAGCCACTGATTTTTGTTTGTTTTAGTATTTCTGTACGCCAACACGGAAGTTTGAATCAAGCTGGTTCGCTCATCAAAAAGCCTATGGGATTTTTCTACTGGATTTTGGATTATTGCAGAAAATAAGCTCTGTGGCAAACAAACAATTATGACACTTACACATTTTGTTCAGCAAGATAATCTTCATGAATGAACACCACTTTTATGATTATTGGAGCCTAAATGCAATAACCAGATGTAAAAAGCTATCGTTAGGCTAATACGGAACTACACTACGGTCACATGACTTAACGTCACCACCATAACAAAACTGTAAAGCCGTGGTCGCCTTTTACAATGGTGTCTTCACATAATGTCTTTAAGAGCAGAGGCAGTTTTGAAAAGTATTTCTTGACCTCAGTAGAATGGTGCAGGAATAAGTCCGAAAACCCGGAAATGAGTTAGCATTTTTGCTACTCACAGTTCTCTCGTCTTGAAGTTTCAGGGTTTTTGGTTAGACGCCTGAAACGAGGTCTGTGGTTAAAACAAGCTGAAGAGACTTTCACGTTTTGTTCTACAACATAAAATACATCAGTAAATACCCAATTCATGAACTTTGAGACTTCTATGTGTCTTTCAAAAGATGGTTGCTAACAAGTGCCTAAATGAGACCACAGAACGTCATCACGCCGTGTCGTGTTCATTGGTACTGATTATCCTGCTGAACAATACATGTATGTATCGTAAGCTTTTGTTTTCCACTGATTTTTATTTTCTGCAATAATCCAAAATCCAATGGGAATATCCCACTGGCTTTATGTCTACGGAACAATGGTGAAGCTAACTTTTAGGTCAGCCTACAAAAAATGTCATCCCTGCAGCCCTCTGTTGGATGCAGGAATAATGACATTCCCATCAGCCTCAGCTGTACTTTGTGTTTACTACTAATTAGCAAATGTTAACAAGCGAACACACTCTGAACTGAGATGGTGAACCTGCTCAACATGAGCACACCAGCATTGTCATTGTAAACATACTAGCATTTAGCTAAAAAAGCCTAGGTGCTTAAGTTCAACATCACAGAGCTGCTGTCATGGCTGTAGAATAATTAATCCTTTAATGCAATAACGACCACATTTATATTCTTAAAACTGCTTCTTGGACTTCAACTATGAAATCTCACATCTGAGTTTAAAGTCTTTGCAAATGAATTTTCACTGTACATAAACTGAACTGGAATCAACAGCTGCTTGAAAGATAAAATAAAATCTTAAAATGTCATGTGGTTTGTTTTCGGTGAGTTAAACGAGCAGACTTCAGTACAGACATGCAGGAGAGGAGAAGAAGAATGAGTGAAGTAGCAGTGTAATCTCATCCCTACTCATCATATTTTGACACGCAGGGAGAGACCTAATGGAACACAGCCTTTTTTAACATTTGTCTTAATGCAGAAGGGGTCCGCTGCAAATCATGTGAGTCACCTCAGGTGAATAAAGAAGGGTCTGTTGTTGGGTGTAGGCAGGAAAACTGCTTGGGTGAGAAAACGATTTTTTCTGACGTGACTCAATTGACATAACTAACAACTGACGTAATAACCTAACACTGACAGACAGAACATGAACACCGGTCTCCTGGGTTAAAGTCCTGTGCTTGTTGGGCCCACCCGCCTCCGCTCCCACCTGCCCAAATTGGACTTCTGCTCTGTTTATGCCACATCTGGTGCTCTGAACATCTAATAATGATGTGGATGGGTTCTCTTTGGAGTTTGTTGAAAACCCAGTGTGTCTCATACTAACACTAAAGGGTGCCCCTGGCATCAGTATAGTGACACAATGGACACTGCCCAAGCGGCGAATTTTAACGCCCTGGGAGTGAGACCAGGCTGGAAGTCGACAAAGACAAATGGCAGCACTTAGAAAATGTTCTTAGGATTGGGAAGGCATGACCCGCCTTTCTCTACCTCTGACTGGGTAGTGCTCCTTGCCTTTGTTGGTTGGGTTTGTTAGGTTTAGGCAAGACGAGTGTGACTGGTAAGAATGTCATGGTGAGCAAATCAGAGGCAGAGTAAGGCAGGAAAAAAACTCTTGCATCAGGGACGACCTCTGTTGCATGCCACACTTCCTCTCTGTTTCCTCTGTTTAACTATCAAATAATAACCATCTAAAGCTGGATCTGTATAATGGTTCTCCAAAGATGCACAGAAACTTCTCGAGGCGTACACAGAGCCTGTGGGATCATGTTTCAGCCTTTTACAGAACATTTACACGAACATATTAACAAACACATTCAGCTTTAGTGACTCAGACAAACATGCAGACAGTCGTGTACGTGACATGTTGTGGCAGCATGCTGGGAGGTCACATCATCATCATCAGCATGCTTTCAGCCCCGCCCCCGACAAACTTACTTCAATAGTACTGTCCAATGAGCCGACACTGTTCCTACGACCCCGCTTCCCTGTTACCCAATCAGAATGATGAAGGGTTAAAAAGAAATAGTTCCAACAAATGTTCCCGTAAAACCACATTTTACACTTCTGTTTGTCACAGTTTAAACAAACAAGATACAACATGTTCTGTGCTTTTACTTGAGTACTAAAGTAATATAATTGTTTTACTTAGGATTAGTAGTAGGATTTTGAAGTAGAATTTTGAATGTACTTTTCCTCATGATTTACTGGGTTTACATTAGCAGTGGGAATCTTGAGGCACCTCACAGCTCGATCAGATTTTGATTCAGAGGGCTATGATGAAATTATAAAACAATAATTGATGAAACTTGAAGACGCAACCTGTATACAGTGTGGCTCATGCCCACGTTCCTTTTCCCTTCAACTTCATAGAAGCTAAAATGCTTCCATGAGATAGTTTTGAAGCCAGGAGGATGCCGGATTGGATTGTATCCATTTGTGTTAACACGTTTTACGTCCGTTATGTTTCACCATCGAATTGACCTATGGCTAAGTCCCGCCCTCAAATGCAATGAGCCAATCACAGTGCGTATAGCCATTCCCATACACTGGGACATTCTCTGCCTGGACGTCCATTGAAATGCATCACAGAAAGTCAGTTTCGTTCAGTTTTATGAGCTTTTTCTGAGATTTGAAGTTTAAAAATGGTCAAACGGTGTGCATGGGGTACATGCAACTCTGACACAAGGTATCCTGAGAGGCTGGGCGACCAGGTGTATTTTTTACACTTTAAACCACATCTCAAACGAGAAAAGTGTCTCCTTTGGATAAAGTTGTGTGGTAACGTTAGACCACAACATCAACTCAACGTGAATAAGATTAACAATGATGTCTACATCTGTTCTAAGGTAAGTCAACATTGTGTTTGAGGCAACATATTGTCACTTTGCTGGAAAGAAATATAAAGTTATCTTTAACATCTCTAGCTAACGTTAGCTAAAGTTAGCCTAACGTTAGCTCCTAGCTGCGTTGTTCATCATGTCACCTTGTTTGCTGGGAGTTCATTAGCCTATTTTGTTCTAGTTTTGTACTTTGGTGATGGTACATCATTGTTAGCTGTTGTCCAAAGGGCTCTAGTTAAGCTAACGTTAACTTCTGGAGCTTAGCTTCATTAACTTATCTGTAATGGCAGAGATAACAAAGGTTGGCAAACGTTATGCTGAATGATTCAGTGTAAATACTGTAGCACCAAAGTAACGGAGAGACACTCTTGGTAAAGATGGTAAAAAGGCCGTTATCCTTTTCTCATATTCTGAGCCAAAAACCTTAACTTCAGTGGCACTTTAACTTGTTGTCTTTAATGGTGACGGCAACCAGATGCGGTTCACAAGCGTACACTGTGACCTGTAAATTTTGGCTTATAATTTAAGCTTTTCATCGACCTTCTCAACAATAAAATGATGAATATATCCCTCCAATGCGTAGTTTAGGCCCTTTTGGTTACTTCTCAATGACATCTGATCGTTATGTCCCCAAAAATCATCAGTTGCCTCCTGCGAAATGCCGTGTACTCTGACACCTGCCATAGCGCCGCTCACTGAATGTTGATAGTTTGTGCCATAGACTGCAAGTGAGTGGAGGGGGGCGTGGCTTAGCCATAGGTCAATTGGTGCAGCTGTAAGGAACATTTGGCTCTGTCTTACAGAACTGCAATCATAAAATTGAGAATTGGATCCTAAATTTCTAATTAATTACTTTTCTGCATCGAGACATAATCTTCAAGAGAAAATCTCGATGCAGCTAAGAATCAATTTTTCCCTCTACCCTCAGTTCAGTCCCTCCAGGCATTCGCAATGCTACGATCTCACCAATTAAGGCAAATTCTGCCAGTTCCTGTGAATTCTGTGTGACCTTGAAATTTTCACGATCCTTCAAGGCATTAACAGCTGATCGGCAGCGATTAGCTGTAGATGCCCCCAACACCACCAACCATCACATATAGATTCTAATTCTGTGGGAAACACTGAATGCTCATAATCATAGGCTTCGAACCTGAGACTTTTGCAATTTTAAGTTGCCCCCACAATTTTATTGCAAAAAAAAAACACTACAAACATTGTAATATTTTAGAATGTGCTGTGAAATCAGACATTTCAGACCACAAAAATCACAAAAACAGCAAGGAGGAAGTTAGTTTACATAACATACTCCGAATAAAGATCCAGAAAAATCAGCACAAACACACAATGGGACAGATGGTGATATTAGTTGATTGAAAATGACATCTACTAAAACTGATGAAATATCAATGTATCACTAATCTTATTAATTACATCTGCTTCGAGTGTCTTGTGAACAGCAGTAATTATTAAGGTCAGTTTCTACAGTAAAATCACCCTCTCATATGTCATGTTGCAGTTCTTGTATTTGTCCACTAGGTGGAGAAAGAGCACCACAGCTCTACCTTAGACATTCATCTTACTGTATTATATTACCATTTTAGATTTCATCACTATTTCATCAGTTGCATAAGACCACAGATGTAGGTTTGCTCTGACTCACTGAGTCATAATAATAAACTGCAGCAGTAAACAGAAACGGTGAAAAATCCCATTTGCAGAATCTCCGTCACGTCAGGATACCACAAAAATATGTACACTGATATTCAACAGGCAAAAACAAACTGTAGAGGGCCCACATGTGTACTTGTACTACTTCATCTGTCCTCACCTGTCTCTGAGAGGTCTCTCAGTGAGGAGCTGAGTGCCGTGCGTTTAAGTCCGTCCACAGATGCGTACGTGTCATCAAGGCTCGGCCTACCCAGAGTACCGTTCATCACTTCGCCCTTTCCGGAGCCAACGTTGGCCCCTGCCGTCCCGCCTCCTCCTGGTCCTCCCCCTGTCAACACACCTGGACGCATCACACCTTTCTGCTTCTCGAGCTCGGCTGGAGGAAGAAGGAAGAGAAGAGATGGTAAATATCAGACCTTAAGAGAAGTGGAAATTAAAATACAGTCTTGAGTGAAGACAGTCAGTACGAGCTGATCTTCAACTCCTATAAGTACTACTACTGCTGCAACCACTACTACTGGCTACTGCCACTCCTGTTACTATTCATTTGGCAAACATTTATGCATACCTGCAAAGTACTTCTACTACTGCTGCTGATTTTCTACAACTACAACAAGAAGTACAACCACTACTGCCTCTGCTATTGCTACTAGTACTGTAATGTTACTACAACCACTACTGCCTCTGCTATTGCTACTAGTACTGCCAATACTACAACTCCTGCTGCTCCAGCTATTGCTACTGCCACTGGTACTACTACCACTACTACAGCTACTGCTATTAATATGACTGTTACTGATTTTCTAGAACTGCAACAGAAAGTACAACAACATGTGTGTCTGCTTTGATTACAGCTACTGATGCTAATACTGTAATGTTACCACTATCACAACTGCTTCTGCTATTGCAACTGCCACTAGTACTACTACCACTACTACAGCCAATGCTGCTACACACTACAACTACTAGTAAGTCTGTCATGATTACTTTTATTGCTAATACTGTAATGTTACTACTGCCACTATTCCTATTGCTACTACTGCCAATACTACTCCTGTTATTGCCACTGGCTCTACTAGCACAACTACAGCTACTTCTACCAATATTACTGTTACTGATTTTCTACAGCTGCAACAAGTAGTAGCCTACAACTACTTGTGTGTCTGCTATGACTACTGCTACTGTTGCTAATACTGTAATGTTAAATAATGCCACTGCCTCTGCTATTGCTACTGCCACTGGTACTACTAATACGACTGCACTGAACTACAACAAATACTACAACTACTAGTAAGTCTGCCATGATTACTGCGACTGTTGCCAATACTGTAATGTTACTGCTACAACTACTGCCTCTGCTATTGCTAGTACATACTAATACTGCTGCCCTTGCTATTGTAACTGCCACTGCTACCACTACCACTACTGCTTTTGCTATTGTTACTGCCACTGGCACTACTATCAGTACAACAGCTACTGCTATTAATGTTACTGCTGCTTGTTTTCTACAACTAACAACTACTTTTGTGTCATTACTGCTACTGCTACTTCTAATATTACTGCATTGATTTTCTGCACTACAACAAGTACTACAACTCTGTGTGCTTCTGCTATGATAACTGCCACTGGTACTACTACCAGTACTTCAGCTACTGCTACTAATATTACTGCTGCTTATTTTCTACAACTACAACAAGTAGTACAACTACAGTACTTGTGCGTCTACTATGATTACTACCACTGTTGCTAATACTGTAATGATACTAGTACCACTAGTATGGTACTGCTACCAGTACAACAGCTACTGCTACTAATATTACAGTTGCTGATTTTCTACAACTTACAACTACTTGAGTGTCTGCTATGATTACTGCTACTACTATAACTGCACGGATTTTCTGCAATATCAACAAGCACTGCAACTACAAGTAAGTCTGTCATGATTACTACTACTTTTGCTGATACACACATTCTAATAATGTTACTACTACCACCGCTGCCTCAGCTATTGCTACTAGTACTGCCAATACTACTACTACTGCTACACTTGCTACTGTAACTGCCACAAGTGCATCTACACTACTGCAGCTACTGCTACTCACACTGTAATGTAACTACTATCACTACTGCTTCTGCTATTGCTACTTCTACTGGTACTACTACTACTGCAGCCACTGCTATTAATATTATTGCAATGATTTTCTGCAACTACAACAAGTACAACAACTATTCGTAAGTCTGTCATGATAACTACGACTGCTGCTAATACTGTAAGGCTACTAGCACCAGTATTGCCTCTGCTATTGCTACTAATACTGCCAATACTACTACTGCTGCTTCTGATGTTGCTATGACCACTACTATGGTTTGCTGTTACCAAAGCTATGTCAATTAACAAATAATCTTCTTTGTTTACCTCAGCTCCAGAAAGAACTGACCTTTATTTCTTTATAAAAACATATATTTCATTCTAGTAATAAGCCTCTCTTAATTAGCCGTTGATGCTGTATACAAACTCAACACGTCCTCCATGTTTTCCTCTTGTCTTTATTAATTTACTGTAATATTTAATTTCCCTGACACTAATTCTACCAGAGACATGTTGTGATAATTTCTCCTCTCCAACAGGAAAAGCGCTGTTAATTTACCATCAGTGAAACCCAACACTAATTTGGCTTTTAATTTGACATAATTTGACAGGAAGTGGTCAGTGTCTTTAACGACACATCAACAGTGATTGTAAAAAAAACGAGTGGAGTAAAAATAACATTTCTGCTGTGCTTGAGATTATGCTGAATTTATTATGTGTTCCATATAGTCCACTTTATTTAAGCCCTGTCCATATTTTATGCCAGCACCTGGCTAACAAGTGCTGTTACCACTGCGTCTGTCATTCCTATTACTACTGCTATTCTATTGGTTCATCTGCAGCCTCTGCTATGACTCCTGCTTCCAGTGCTAAAATACTAATAAATACTAATTCCTTTCAGTTCACTGTCACTCCAGTGATTCCACCACAGCGGTCCTTGTTACTACTGGGATTATTACCACCGCTGGTACAGCAGCTGTTGTGACCACTGCTGTCACTGTATTACCATCACTGCACTGTGTCAGGATCACTTACACTCCACCCTGTACTTCTCCATGTCCTGGACCTCTGCGATGCTCTCTCGGAGGTCAGAGGTGAAGCGTGCTCGGTCCTGCTGGCTCGGAGCCGTGAAGACGATCAGCACTTTCCTCTCTCCTCCAGGGTTCGCCGACGTCAGCCTGATACCGTGAGGGTAGTCTGGGTGAGACGCCACACACACACAAAAACACAAACACAGACACAGACACACACACAGCACATGTTACACACTGTGAGCCAAATGCCTCGACCTCGCTGTGAAGAGCTGGACATCGAAGCTGAAAAGACACGCTCAGTACTGTGGGCCAAAAATAGATGAGATGACGTGTCATGATTTATTTTTGACAAAAACAAATTAATCTCAGTGGTAACACGGTGTCCTCTGGTGGTGTCTGTACACAAAAGAGGACGCCACGTTACCACTTCATTACAGTACCATCTGATGTGAATGATAAAACCAATAACGGGTACTGTACTGTACTAAAATATCTTTAAAAAGCTTGTTTACTCAAGAAAAAGAAATAAGTAAATTGTGATCTTGGGACAAAAGAATTAAAAAAAATAAAACCATTGAAACCAATTAAAATATCTGTATTTGTACTCAAAAATGGGCGGGGTTTAAACAAGAAATGGTGGAGCATTACCAGAACATGATACTTCATGCCTGAAATTGACATGGATTGATCAGAAGTTCAAATATTTGTGATTAGAATGATTACAATTCTTTACCGAACGATCTCAGAATTGAGCTTCAGATCATTTTTTTCATCTCAGGAGTAACAGATTGAACAGATTTTCCCACTGCCCTCTTCAAACCAGTGAGAAAAGCTCAGACAAAAATACAGAATCTCTCACGTAAAATAAGAAAAACCGTTTAAATTTCGTCAGATTAATTTGTGTACATATTGGACTCTGACCCTGGATCAGCTGAGTGTAAGACACTGATTGAGAAAAAGGCTGTAAGAGCCTTTAAAGATGGACTGTCACACACACACACACACACACACACACACACACACACCTAATAAAACTATACGCACACATGATACACACACAGATACATTAACGTGCACCCACTCACAGACAATACACACACAGCACTCACCCACCCACACACACACATGAACACACACACGCACACACACACCAGCAGTCCATGTAAGATTGTGCTGATGAATCATATGGGACAATCTGTCCTGGTCACAGTCATCACCACAGGCTGCCAAGTTCCATTTAGCTCCAACTGGAGGACCAGAACTGTCAACAACAACTAAACAACACAACGACCACCACTGCAGCTTCGGTACACACTGAGCACAGCGTCAGCTCTGAGACGACACGGTGCGTCCCACAAATAACAACTGAATAATGTTGACCTTGTCCTGTGACACGATGGAAAACAGTAGAGCTGAAACACAGCACATGAATCTGTGTGACTGATTCCACCACCTGAAATTATTTTATTCAATACCTTTACACACTGTTTGTATTTTTCAACCTGGACCCAATTCCCCCATGTTTTTGTGTCTAAATGTCTAATGTGGATGACAGTTTTTGACACTGGTCCAGCGCTGAGCGAGAGTGCTGCAGCCAATGGCGGCTAAACAGGCTGCAGTGGAACCACTCAGGTAATCAGACGTATGTCCACAGTGCTGTGTCAGCTCTAGAGAAAGGTCTGGAATCACTGATTATCTTTCTGCAACAGGGTAAAAAAATGCCTTGGCGTGTTTATGTTTTTTGAAATCAATCATAGTCGTCATGGGTGGCATTAAGCCCAGTGCAAAATAGTGTCAGGGTTGAATTTGTTTTGATGGAACATTTGCACGTGGGGAGGTGAGCTCTGTCATTAAAATGGCCCCACCAATGGGCGCCCAGTAGCTCAGTGGGTAGAGTGGGCGTCCCATATACAAAGTCAGTGTCCTTGCCACTGTGGCTGTGGGCTTGACTCCAGTCTGGCCCTCTGCTGCATGGCACCCCCCCTCTTTCTCCACCGTCACGCTTTACATAATATCCATCCATCCATCCATCCATCCATTTTCTTCCCCTTATCCGGGGCCGGGTCGCGGGGGCAGCAGGCCGAGCAAAGCACCCCAGACATCTCTCTCCCCAGCAACACTTTCCAGCTCCTCCTGTGAGACCCCAAGGCGTTCCCAGGCCAGATGAGATATGTAATCCCTCCAGTGTGTTCTCCTACCTGCCTCCTACCAGTGGGACGTGCCCAGAACACCTCCAGCTGGAGGCGCCCAGGAGGATCCTGATCAGATCCCCGAACCACCTCAACTGACCCCTTTCGATGCAAAGGAGCAGCAGCTCTACTTCCAGCTCCCTCCGTATGTCCAAGCTCCTCACCCTATCTTTAAAGCTGAGCCCAGACACCCCACAGAGGAAACTCATTTCCACCGCTTGTATCAGTGATCTCATTCTTTCAGTCACTACCCAGAGCTCATGACCATAGGTGAGGGTTGGGACGTAGATGGACCAGTAAATTGAAAGCTTTGCTTTCTGGCTCAGCTCCCTCTTCACCACGATGGACCGGCGCAGCGCCCGCATCACTGCAGAAGCCGCACCGACCTGCTTTAATATTGTCCTGTCAAATAATGACAGATCATTTGTCCTGTCACATGATTGATGTAACTAGGTACCTACAGTAGCTATGCAGCAATATGATATCCCTATTTACAGTCCCACCTACAAAGGTCTGATTGGTGACCTGTTTATCCAACTGGGGGAAACAGTCATGAGTGGGCAAAACATCAGACTTATTTGAATCACTGAGCAATTTGGAGGTGTGGGCGGTAATCAGAGGGTTTAAACAAGCCTGTGTTTAACTGCCCTCTGTACTTTAAAATTTAAGTATGCTCTACCTTTGATCACAATCAGGCCCAGGTTATACTAAAAAAGAAGCAGTTTATACCACATGTCGTCCGACCCCAGTCAGACATCAAAAGTGTTCTCAGTTGTTCCAAATGGCCTCACTGAAGGCGGAGTGAAAAAATCACAGAGATTCCTTAAGAACCAGGTGTTTCAACTAAGGGCGGTGCCTTTTGAACAGAGTCAGTACGTTTCCATACACAGTTAAGTCAAGCTATGGCTCTAGCTCAACTAGGACATTTAATTGGACTACTGAACTTGTCCCAGTATACAAGCACAGGTGAGGAATCCATTTAACGACCCAAGTATGTCCGACTCCTCTACGATAGGTGGAGGTATGCCCCCTTTCAGCATGTTAGTATTGGACCTTTTTTCCGGTCGACCTATTATGTTACAGACCAAACAATCAACAAACAAGTTACGGTTAGCTAACAGCTAACTGGACAACTCTACTGCTCTCCCTGACTTGGGCATAACGTATATGCAAATGGAAGGGCAGGGAGGTCCCAGATAAGCGGCATACCGCCAAATGTCAAACTGCGAATAGGAATAAGGTTAGATTTGACTTAAGTGGTAGTGACTGACATGGAGATAATTGCACACATTTTCAGACAGTCTCTCCTGAAAGACATTCATAGCATCAAATTCAGCTGTTTACATGAAAAATGGTGGCGTCAGTTAGGTGTTTCGAAAGGTATTTGACCTCCGGCAGCATGTCACAGTGTACTGACATGCCCTGGAGTTCACTTCCACACCACTGCAGAAAGATGAGATGGTAAGCACGTGGAAGTCAGCAAAAACAAGCTTTTCATTTGGCTGTTATTTTGCTCTTTCAGGGGTTAAAAATATTGGGCTGTTGGTGGAGACATTATACATATATAAAGCCTTTTTGAAAATGGTGGAAATGTGATTTTGGAGCTGAACTCTTCAGAGTGAGGCGTCCTGTTAACAGGTGCTGAGGCAGATTTGAAACGCCACCAACTCCAATCTGCTGCATAGAACTGAGAGCCAATTTTTCTCTGCTGAAATAGAGGCTTGGAAACCACACACACCCACACACTTAGACACACACACACACACACACACACGCAGCTTACTGCATATGATTGTGTGAACATCATTATTGAAAAATGTGTTGGTTGAATGAGTCATGTTGAGAGAAATGCAGCTAAAAAGCCTTGTTTTCAGATTGACAGTCATATATTTAGGAAATCCTGTGATATGCTTCCACTGTGTTTCTGTTGGTGTTTTTAGAGGAGTACTGACTACACTTCTGACTGAGGATGCCTTGCATTTAAAGAACAGGCTGGCAGACACTTAATATTGGTAATTGGAGAGGGAAGTTATATTTTGCCAAGCGATTATTAACAGATTGTCGCAAACATTTCCAACTGGGACGGAGTATCCGATTGTTGTCCCACATGTATTTTTGGTATCTATTCCAAGAGCTAACTCTAATGTCATGCTTTGGCCAAGTTAAGATGCATTTTATCTCTACTGCAAATACCTGACCCATAAATATGTAACTGAGATCTTGGAACTTGAAAGCTCATCTTTGGTGGGTACGCTAGTGCAAATTTTGTGATCCACATGCACCTGAGGAAATCAACTACAGAAACCTCCTGTATGCACCCTCCTATAAACTCTTTTACTGTTAGTAAACGGTATGATGTTTTTGGTGGGCGGGGCTTAGCTGGAGGCAAAACAATTCTCCACAGACATTAGCTAGCGCTAGCTAACAAGTTGTGTTGTCTTGTTTTAGACACTGGAGGAAGAAGATGTGAGTGGTGCGTTCAGAAACACTCATTATGAGTGTGGGAGCGCACTCTGACACAAACTGGAGCGTTGATAAATTGGGAGCGCTGTCTGAATGTAGCGTTGGGTTATCCAGAGCAGCGCACTCTCAGAGTGGCAGAGCGCACTCTGGACACTATGTCTGTGGAGACGGAGCAGCAGAGCGCCGAGCGGAGTGAATGTGTGATTAACTTAACCGTTGGTTCATTCATGTAGAAATATAACGCTGCGTTTCTTCCACCAACAGGGCTCTCATTTTAGTGAAGAGCGTCAGACTGAATTTACCAACGCACCATGTCAGGTCACTCACTCTCCGGGACCACCAGTGTTACTGGAATAAGTAAACACTGACCAACGGGACCAGACTGGCCGACCCGTATGCTCTCACTCAGTGGATGGATGATGTCACAGGAAGCCAATCTTACAAAGGAGGACCACACTTGTTTGTTTTGCTATGGAAGCTAACGTTAGCTAATGTGCTAAAAAGTTAGCGTTGCAGAGAAATCCAATCTTCCTCTTAATCCCTCCCCAGTTTCTGATGAGGTGGACATGATAACCCTTAATACACATAACCTTATTCGTCATTCATTCATTTAAATGTCTAACGACGTTAGAATTTCAGGATGTGTGGACATTAACATTATGACATTTTGCAGACGTTGGGTTTTGTTCTTCACACCTTATGACTAAATGTCAGTATTCTATGTCAAGATGATGTTGGCATGAGACATTACTCCACGTCACATGCGCCCATTCACACACTGGTGCCATCTGCTATTCAGAACGTGTTGACACACACTCACACATCGATGGAACAGCCATTGGGAGCAATTTGGGTTTCAGAGTCTTGCCCAAGGACACTTAGACATGCAGACTGGAGGAGCCAGGGATCAAACTGCCAAGCTTTAGATTAGTGGACAACCTGCTCTACTGCTGAGCCACACAACTTAAAACCAACAAAATACCAATGTCATCCGTCTGCAGTATTCTACACCACTTGATGATGGCATTAGACGTTGTCCTGACATTGAACTTTGGTGATCTGATGTCACAACCTAAATTGAACCAAATATCAACGCTGAAAGATGCTGATGACCAGCTGGGTAGCTGCCAACAGATGAACATCATGTAGTGTCCCCAGTGCCCCCTGGGTAATGCAGTTTATTTCTGAATCGCCCAGAGAACCAGACATGGAGAGGTATGAGAGTACCAGTAGGGTGTGAGCAGTGCTGGTGCGCAAGAAAATGTCATTGTACATCAAAGAGTAAAATGTAAAAGTGGTACCGTGTAATGGTAAGCACTGGCCCACTTCCTACACTGACTATAACTGTGTGTGGCTATTAGTGTTGATCTCTGAATTAGTCTGTTTTTAAGGCTCATTTGCATAGAAAGGGGCCAATTTTGTGCCCATTGTATGCATTCTGTATTACCTCATTTAAATATGTGCAAACAGCACAGAGACGCTGTTGCCTTGGCAGCTCATTTCGGGGTGCATTTCACCCTTTGTGTTTGCTTAGAGAATTACATGGTTTCTTTTTGTCTAATTTGTGCAGGTTTAGCGGCCTCGAAAGCTGCTCATTCCTTCTTTGAATCCTGCCCTCTGTGTTTCTCACCACAACACAAGATCTGGTCGTAGATTAGCGACAGCTGTTTCTGTTTTCCTACATCGACACTGACTTTCTCTTCCCTCCCTGCTGTTCGCTGATCTGACTTGTTCACCCTCACAAACAAACACGATCCCATCTTGTTTCCTTTTCGCATCCAGTGAGTTTACATCTAAGCACTTCTTCTCAATGGCTGCTGCTTCAGCACCTTGGTACGTCTGCAGGTGTGTCGCCTCTGAGACGAGCTCGTTTTTTCCCCCTGACGTGAAGTGAAGCTGTATCTGAACTTAAAGAACATGTTGGATCCTCGATGATCCATTTACTGAGACTTTGGAGAGATGGGGGCACATCAGAAGTTGCTCTCACATATTCCTCAGAGAGTGTGTGTGTGTGTGTGTGTGTGTGTGTGTGTGTACATATATATATCTGCGTGTGTGAGTCTTTTCAGTGGGCCTGCGGACTGTGGGGTAAAAATAGAGAATTGAGCAAGTGCACAAAAAGAAATAGAGATATGAGAAATAAAACGGAGAGAGGCCGAGACAGATGGAGGGAGCAGATGGACGAGAGGAGAATGAGAGGGAGATAAAGAGCGAGCGCAGTACTTACAGGTGTTTTGGAAGGTGTGGACCTGCATGTCCACCAGAGGAAATGATTGTCTGAAATTGTACGTCACTGAAGTCTTCTTCTTCTGGAAAATCTTTGTCACCTGAGGAGGACAAAAGAGATGAGAAAAGAAAAGTCAAGGCAGAAAATTGAGAATACAAAGACAGAGAAGAGGGAGGAGGAGAGAGGACAAAGGAGGAGGGAGTCTTTGATTATGCTCATCTTTGTCTTCATTTGTTTCTTTTGTTCATTTCGAGGTGAAGAGTTTTTAAAATCCCTCAGTGAGACATTTGAATGATTCCTCTATAAACTGAAGACGTGTCTCCTCCTGCTTGTTTTTTACTGGCAGTGTAAATAAATTATGATTGAATTGGAGCTGAATCACAGTTAGAGTCACTTCATCTTCTAAACTCAAGTACTGGTGACATCGATTGTGGAGACTTTAAATCATTTATCATGTCAGACCAGTCCTGATTCACAATTTATGAGCTCACACAGATTCACATCTGAAGCTGGTTCATGTTGTCTGTGTTGACCTTCATATGACCTCTGTATGATATTAACCCTTTGAGCTCTTTTCACTCTTTTTATTTACATGTATTAGCTTTCTTATCAACACGTCCTCGTCCCAACTCCTCAACTACCACAGCGTTATCAGTGAAGAAAGAAAAGGAAGAAGATTTACTTTATTAATCCCTGATGGGAAATTAAATTTTTCCACTCTGTTGTCATCTACACACACCGGCCTGAAATACACACACATGCACAAACAGGACCTATACATGCATTAAATGGAGAGATATCAGAGCGAGGGGAGGGCTGCCCATGCACAGGTGCCCAGAGCAGTTGGGGGTTCGGTGCTCCCCAGGAGGCAAAGTGGCATCTCTCCAGCTACAAGTCCATACTCCATGCTTGGCCCAGATGGGGACTTGAGCTGGTGACCTTCCGGGTCCCAACCCAAGTCCCTATGGACTGAGCTACTACCGCCCCAGTGGACCTACACATCAAAATATGACGCCCTAGCAGAGTTGAGACCAAGTCATTGTTTAGCAAGTCAAAAGTAGGTCTCAAATCTTTGCACTCAACTCCCCAGTCCAGTACCAAGTCATAAACTTTGAGTTATTTTAGAAGTCCTAAACAAGTCATAATTTTCTCTTTACTAAATTCAATGCCATTTTAACAACACAGTAATAATATTTTATATTTAGTGTTTAAAGTTTGTATTTATCTGTCAGAATTTTCAACTTGCATGTTTTGCGCACTGCAGTTTGTTTTTTCATTGAGCACTCTTAAATTTTGTACCTAATTTAAATTATCTTTGGTGTCATCTTTTCCAACTGGCACTCAGTAATGTAAAGTTAGTTCTTGGTTCAAACAAAGCGGATCTGGAGAATTAACTGTTAAGCTGGGAATTAAAAGCGTTCAATGTTAACTGACACAGGAAATGAAGGGGAATAAATTGAGTCGTGGCACACGTTTTAAATAACATATCTAGTATTTTCCTGTCAAATAACTGAAGTTAACTTAAAGTCACGAGTCATTGGTGTTAAAGCCTAAGCTGAGTTGCAGGTCTTTTTTGAGGTTGTCAAGTCAAGTCTAAAGTCATCAAATTTGAGACTCGAGTCTGACTCCAAGTCCAAGTCATGTGAGTCAAGTCCATCTATCTCCTTTAACTTTAGCTTATATTGTAGTTATGCTATGTAGCGTGTGAAATAGAGTATGGTGAATGTGCTAGGAAAAGTAGAATCAGCAATGCTTCTGCCTGGAGCTCGCATGTACGGAGCCTGGGTTTGGTTGAAGATGGTAGTGCTGTTTGGGCTGAGAAAGCCATGTGTAAGTAAGGAAAAGGAGGTTGTTGGGTTAGTGCGGAGAGCAGTGAGACCTGGCATTAGGGGAGTGTCTCTGGGACGCCAGAGATCACTGTCTAGCCTCCTGGAGGTGTCGTGGGACCAACTAGACGAAACACTGGTGAAAGGTGATGAACTGGTGATGACCCCAAAGACATGTTAGTAATCACTGCTCACTGGTCTGTATAGTTAAGCCTTGCCATAATAGCTTATCATAGGGCTTAGGAGGTTATTCACTGAGTGCTGATCCTTTCACTAGAGCACAAACTTCTTGTGTTTATTTGAATTCATTTCCCTCCTGTGTCATTTTTGGATGTTCACAGACTGCGTGTGAATCTATGCTTGTTATATGCATTGTGTCTTTTCAAAATAAACTTTCGTTTTCAGGCCAGATGAGATATGTAAGCCCTGCAGTGTGTTCTGGGTCTGCCCCGGGGCCTCCTGCCAGTGGGACATGTTCTGAAGACCTCTAATAGGAGGCATCCTGATCAGATGCCCGAACCACATCAGCAGGCCCCTTTCGACACAGAGGAGCAGCAGTTCTGTTCTGAGCTTTTTTAGTTCATGTGCACTGTAAAAAAGAAATGCTATAGACTAAAGACTAAACTAAATGAAGGCTGAGACACAATCTTTGAACTCATGGACACTGAAAGAAGGTATGGTGTCTGTTCAGGTGCTCTTTGGGTGCGTCCGGCCTGTCAGAAGTTTTTGGGTATGCTTGTATGGATGGTGGCTGATATATAATAGACTGGTTTTAAATAGAAAGCATTGATTTATGGTCTGTATTTAGGACCTTTTCACAAATTCTAGTAGTAAAAAGTACTAGTTCTCATCGATATCTTTTATTTTAAGTATAAAATATAGTGGACTGATGGCTGACTGTTGAAGCCTCAGTGACACCGATCAATCATACCCATGTTCTGTAACTGTATGCCAGCTGTTGAGCCTTGTGGCAAGAGCAGACAAGATTTTGGAAAAATAAAATAAATTTAAATATATTTTTGTTTTTACTGAGCATGTGTGGTACCCCAATGATTTGACAAGATATGACGCCGTGACTTCTCCTCTTTCAAACCTGTCCATACCACAGCTTTGAAAACAGCCAAAAACACAGGATCACTGTTGGTCTTAAATAAGACTAAGTGGGCTAAGTGATTCGCTCTGATTTCAGCAGTTTGTTTATGATGTGTGTGTGTGTGTGTGTGTGTGTGTGTGTGTGTGTTCAGTTGTGAGTAATGACTGTGAGGGAGAGAGAGCACGGTGGCTCCATCAGAGCTTGTTTGTTGAAAACAGCTGCCTGCTGTGGCTGAAAAAGACGGTGATGAGACTGAACCAAAATACTGAACGAGCCAAACAAAAACTACAGGCTACAAGAGGCTAACATTCTGAGCAGAGCTGCAGAGTCTGGGGTTTATTCCCTGCAGACAATACATGAACACATTTGATTCAGTGTTAAGGAAAGAAATTATTGATAATTGCAGCTTTAAATGCCTCCTCCACTGAAGAGGAGTCATTAACATGGCTGTATTGTCAGGCACCTTCAGTTATTGATGTAATATAGTCTACACAGTTGATCACAGAGCTAAAAACCTCACAACAACACAATGAGGGATTAAACAAGAACTGGAAATGCTGGTGATACGATCAGTAGCATTACTGACGGCAGCAAAGCAACTGAAGCCGCTGAGCTTCAGCACTTTATCGCTGGGATTACAACACATACACAGTCTCTTTTGTTTTTCAATCTTTAATCTTGCAAACAAAAACACTAAAACATCAGACTTCACGGGTAAACCTTGCTGACAACTCCTGCCTGGGTTTCTTACTTGGGAATCCATTTATTTGCTTTCTCTTTAATAGGACGACAGACTTTTTGACATTTCTGGAGCGCAGCATTAAACAGGACCAGGGCATTATGGGATAAACTGGTGCTCTGGTGACACGCAATCACTTTATCTCCCAGGGGAGAAGATCCTCAGGCTCCAAGAGAATTAGTCCCCAAACTTATCTCAAAATAGTGCAGTAATACAAACACCCACAGTCTGTGTAAAAAAAGATAATGACACTAGATTTCTGTATTTTCCACCAAATCCATCACACACAAACACACACACACACACACGTACACACTCACCATCAGCAGGTCGTTGAACAGGAAGACTTCTCTCTGGTGGACGCCGCTCCGCTGAGCTCGGTTTGGATCTGGAACCTCAAACAGCTGGCAGCAGCACACCAACCTGCGGTGAGGCAGTGACAGCACCTGAAACACACACACACCAAGAACACCATTATTATTACAATTTTCTCGGCCAGTTCCGACTTCCGATATTTTAAATGTCTGATCTGCCGAATTTATGGTGACCAAAGTGGACTGCGCACCTCCTGCAGACCTCTATGGATGATGATGAGTATAAGATAAACCATAAAGTTTACACTCAAGAAACTTTTAGCCTGAACAGGGACTTGAACCCTGGACCTTCAGATTAAAAGTCTGATGCTCTACCGACTGAGCTCCTCAGGCTTCAAGGGAAGCTGAGGTGATGTGTCCATTACCCCTTGCCTTTAGACTGGAGGAGGGCAGACCCTGATTTGCATGTAGCTTGAAAAACAAGATAGGTTGCAATCAGATCTCTGACCTGGCCAAGAGAGACACATTCTTGTGCTCATAAATCGGGTCTCAGAGACAATTGGATGTAACAGCCATGTTCCCAGGAGGTCTGAAAGACTTGAAGTTTTCCCTAAATGCTTGACTTATGGAAGGTGCAACCAGACTTCCACAAGGTGTCATGCAAGAAACTTGTTGCCTGAACAGGGACTTGAACCCTGGGCCCTCAGATTAAAATCTGATGCTCTACCAACTGAGCTATCCAGGCTTCAGGAGGTTGATCTTCTGGAGGATAACATGGGGTGAAGTGATAGGAGTCTGTGAGAATCATTGAAGTTTTGTCCATTATCACCTCCTTTTGGACCGGAGTAGGGCAGATCCTTATTTGCAAGTAGCTTAGAAAAAAACAAGACAAGGTGCGATCAGATGTCTGATCTCGCCAAAAGAGACACAGTTTATATGGCTGAGTGTGAATGACAGTGTCCTCATAAATCAGGTGTCAAAGACTTGTGGGTGCAACAGGCACATTCCAAGGAAGTCTGGTGCTCTACTGACTGAGCCACCCAGGCTTCAAGAAACCTTTCTTTTGGAGGAAATCATCACCTGAAGTAATGTGAGTCAATAAAGACCATTTAAGTTTTGTCCATTACAACCTCCTTCTAGACCAGAGTAGGGCAGACCCTGATTTGCATGTAGCTTTGAAAAAAACCAAGATAAGATGTCTGGGACACATATGTATATGTGGTCAAGTACAAATGACTGTGTTCTCATAAATGAAGAATCAAATACTTGCAGACATAACAGGCATGTTCTTGGAAGTCTGAAAGTCTTGAGGTCTGCCCAAATGCACAAGTTAGCATGGTCACAATCAGACTGTGGACCTCCATGAATGATTACAATAGTGAGCACATCAGGCATGTCATAAAAGAACCTGTTGTCTGAAAGGGAATCCATTGCCACCTCCCTCTGAACTGGAGGAGGGCGGATCCTGATTTGCATGTAGCTTGAAAAACAAGTTGGGTTGCTAGCAGATCTGGCCATGAGAGAAACATACTGTTCATGAGGCTGAGTGTGAATGATAGTGTCCTCATAAACTGGATCTGAAAGACATGTGGACATAACAGGCATGCTCACAGGAAGTCTGAAAGTCTTGAAGACTGCCCAAATGCACAACTTATGATTGACCTCCACAAGATGTCATATAAGAAAACAGTCACCTGGACAGGGACTCAAACCCTGGACCTTCAGATTAAAAGTCTGATGCTCTACCGACTGGGCTACCCAGTATCCGAAGTGAGCTGAGTGGGTGAAAACCTTTGAAGTTAAACATATGTACAGCTGTTTAGATGTTTGTTTGAGGTGTTGCAGGATCTTACAGGCTTCTTGCCGACCACCATCCTCTCCACCGCCTGGACCTGAGACACGTGATCATCGTTGGTTCTCAGCTCCCATTTCTGGATCCTTCCGTAAATGGCCACCAGCAGGTCCCTGGGGATGTCCTGACCATTATCAACCCCTGATGGAAACACAAGGGTCAGGGTTTAGTTTCAGATAATATATATATATACAGTACAGGCCAAAAGTTTGGACACACCTTCTCATTCAATGCGTTTTCTTTATTTTCATGACTGTTTACATTGTAGATTCTCACTGAAGGCATCAAAACTATGAATGAACACATGTGGAGTTATGTACTTAACAAAAAAAGGTGAAATAACTGAAAACATGTTTTATATTCTAGTTTCTTCAAAATAGCCACCCTATGCTCTGATTACTGCTTTGCACACTCTTGGCATTCTCTCCATGAGCTTCAAGAGGTAGTCACCTGAAATGGTTTTCCAACAGTCTTGAAGGAGTTCCCAGAGGTGTTTAGCACTTGTTGGCCCCTTTGCCTTCACTCTGCGGTCCAGCTCACCCCAAACCATCTCGATTGGGTTCAGGTCCGGTGACTGTGGAGGCCAGGTCATCTGCCGCAGCACTCCATCACTCTCCTTCTTGGTCAAATAGCCCTTACACAGCCTGGAGGTGTGTTTGGGGTCATTGTCCTGGTGAAAAATAAATGATGGTCCAACTAAACGCAAACCGGATGGGATGGCATGTCGCTGCAGGATGCTGTGGTAGCCATGCTGGTTCAGTGTGCCTTCAATTTTGAATAAATCCCCAACAGTGTCACCAGCAAAACACCCCCACACCATCACACCTCCTCCTCCATGCTTCACAGTGGGAACCAGGCATGTGGAATCCATCCGTTCACCTTTTCTGCGTCTCACAAAGACACGGCGGTTGGAACCAAAGATCTCAAATTTGGACTCATCAGACCAAAGCACAGATTTCCACTGGTCTAATGTCCATTCCTTGTGTTTCTTGGCCCAAACAAATCTCTTCTGCTTGTTGCCTCTCCTTAGCAGTGGTTTCCTAGCAGCTATTTGACCATGAAGGCCTGATTCGCGCAGTCTCCTCTTAACAGTTGTTCTAGAGATGGGTCTGCTGCTAGAACTCTGTGTGGCATTCATCTGGTCTCTGATCTGAGCTGCTGTTAACTTGCCATTTCTGAGGCTGGTGACTCGGATGAACTTATCCTCAGAAGCAGAGGTGACTCTTGGTCTTCCTTTCCTGGGTCGGTCCTCATGTGTGCCAGTTTCGTTGTAGCGCTTGATGGTTTTTGAGACTCCACTTGGGGACACATTTAAAGTTTTTGCAATTTTCCGGACTGACTGACCTTCATTTCTTAAAGTAATGATGGCCACTCGTTTTTCTTTAGTTAGCTGATTGGTTCTTGCCATAATATGAATTTTAACAGTTGTCCAATAGGGCTGTCGGCTGTGTATTAACCTGACTTCTGCACAACACAACTGATGGTCCCAACCCCATTGATAAAGCAAGAAATTCCACTAATTAACCCTGATAAGGCACACCTGTGAAGTGGAAACCATATCAGGTGACTACCTCTTGAAGCTCATGGAGAGAATGCCAAGAGTGTGCAAAGCAGTAATCAGAGCAAAGGGTGGCTATTTTGAAGAAACTAGAATATAAAACATGTTTTCAGTTATTTCACCTTTTTTTGTTAAATACATAACTCCACATGTGTTCATTCATAGTTTTGATGCCTTCAGTGAGAATCTACAATGTAAATAGTCATGAAAATAAAGAAAACGCATTGAATGAGAAGGTGTGTCCAAACTTTTGGCCTGTACTGTATATATATATAAGTATAAGCCCCAAAGGTTTATTTCTATTGTGGTTCTCTAATTAACCACAAGATAAAACAACACATCTGCAAGGCGACAAGTGCAAATGAAAAAATCAACAAGTAGGGCTGGAAGATACGCGATACACGATATATATCACGATACTGTATCACGAAATCTCCTCTAAAGTACTGTAGACTACTAAAAGTTACAAGAAAGTGAAATACAGTACTGTTATAATAAAGTTAAATAAAATACTATTTTAATTAAATAAATCAAAGTGGAACCACTGGTGCTTTTATTGTAAAGGTCCCAGCTCGGCTTGGATTGGAAGTGTTGATGTTTTTGCTGTGAAACTGAAACTTCCGGTCGACAGATTTATTCACTGTGAGCAGGAAACAAACTAACAGCTCTCCAGTTCATATATTAATAGTATTTGCAAGTTACACTGGTGCTCAATGGTCACAAAATGTGATTAAGGCCCTGTTTATACGACAACGATTTCAACTGAAAATGGTAAACTTTTGTTCGGTTTAGCTGATCGTTTACACAGCAACAGCAAACAACAACAAACAGAGACTTTTCCTACATTCACATTATGGTTCCAGTTAACGGCCATGCACAAGAAGGCGGATGGTCACAACAACAGTGACAGACTCCTCAGCTCTGTTTGTGCTGCTTACTGTATTTAATTAATCAATGCTTCTCCAGCAAAGTGTAGATTTACTGCACCATCACTTTGATCAGCAGAGACGCATTACTTACATGCGCCAAATACTGAATCCACCAATACGCCAACAAAGGGCAGCCAAAGGCACTTTTGGACAAGACATGAGGTCGTCAGAAGAGGAAAGAAATACTTAACTGCAAACCTCTCGGTGTTGCAATGTACTGTCTAATCAATTTGTAATTTGCATGCTAAATACCTTGTATTGAGAATGCTTTCTTTTCAGCTTTTCCCCATTTTTCTCACTCTTATTATTGACTTCCTTATCCAACAAAACACTCTACAGCAGTGGTGTATTGGTAGTTAAAGAGAAGGGTATAGTACCAGGTAGAGGGGTAAGTTACCATAGTCCAGTGGCTTTTGGGGAGGACAAGCAAGTGGCGGGAAAACTGTGAATTGTTAAAGAGAATAAATGGAGGGAAAACTTTCGTATGTGTAAAGCCTCCCTAAATAGGCTCTCCAGTTCTTATACTGATAATATTTGCAAGTCGCACTGGAGACTATGGGCATGAGAACCGAAACGCCAAAGCGAGTCTCATGGTCTCACGATGGGTATCTAGAGCCAGTGTTTGGCTTGTCCATTCTGGGCTACTGTAGAAACATGGCAGTGCAACGTGGCAATCCCCAAAAGTGAGGACCTGCTTCCTGTATAGATATAAACAGCTCATTCTAAGGTAACAAAAACATTACGATTCTTATTTTCAGGTGATTATACACTAAAGAAAACACCCTTTTTATCTGATATTTCAGTTCTGCCAATATATCCCCCTGAATCCGACACACACTGGTCCTTTAAAAAAAATCAGTGTTCCAGCCAGACTGCTCTGATTACAAGAGATGATGTACTGACTGACCCCGCAGGTTCTTGATGAAGTCCTCCAGCTTCATCTTTCTCTCCGGCTTGACGTTGGGACTGTACATGTCTGTGTTGAGGAGGATGATGGCGAAGGCCAGGATGAAGATCGTGTCTGGATTCTGGAACTGCCGGATCAGCACCGGGTTACAGACACAGTACCGCTGACTGCAGGGAGAGAGAAGACACGAAGAATACATTAGACCAGATCGTTCACTGAATCATCTCTGGGATTCAAACCTGTGAAGCAGTTTAGTACCTGAAGGCCTCCACCAGTCGCTCCACCCGCTGAGCTTCACCCTGAACTTTAATCTGAGCCTGGAACTTCCTCAGAGCGTCATCTAGATCCATCCCCGAGAAATCCATCTCATCCAGCACACAGCTGCAGGTGGAGACACAGAACACTGATCACCATCAGCTGCTAGTTAAACATTAAACACAGATGGATCTCAGCTTTAAATATTCACACAAACAAACAGGAAAAAACAATAAAAAGTAAACAAACAGAAGTCAGTGAATGTCTTGTACTCACTCGAGGACATCCTTGTTGAACTGTTGCCGGCTGCCGAGGAACTCTCCGATCATCTGCCTGCTCAGTCCTTTCCTCTCCAGGATGAACCTGGCGATGCCCACTGGTGTGTCCGACACAAAGCCCCTCTCGATCAAATACTGGATCCCCTTCTCCGGCTTCCTGCAACCCAGACAAGACACACATTTGTTTTTCGTTAATTTTTGTGCTTGTTTTATTAATCTAATTTTATTTAGACTCTGCTCTCCAACACAGAGTCATTCCAAAGTTATGAGATGTTTCAGAAGATGGCTTACAAGCTGATTTCTATCTGATAACATCTGTGGAACTTTTGGGGTATTGGTCGTCTTCTACCCACATATAAAGCAGAAGTGTACACTGTGTCACCATACAACTACAGAACCATTCAAAGGTTTAGACTCAAATTTTCATCCGATGATTTTTCTTAATTTCTATTATTCCCAGGTTAATACTGAAGACATCAAAAAAACTATGTAATGACATACAGAATTAGCGGCCGTGTTTTTTGCGCTCTAAAATGTATTGTTTTTAATGTAGATGCACGGCAGGTGCGCTTAAACACGAGAGTGATGCCATCGTGTGCAATGGCTGATAAAGCAAGTTTAACCTTTGGAACGCATCAGTGTGCACTGCATGTCATGTGACAAAGCAAAAAGTGTCTTCAAGAGCAAGGTGTAGCAACAAACACTAAACCCCTGAGCTTGCCTGAGAAGGACTTAATGGACAAAGCTGCTATTTTTAAATATCCCATGGAGAGAGACTCTCACTGCAGCCTGTTCTATTTTGTTGTGAAAATGTGGGCGTGCAGCCTCGTTCTGTGGACGATAAACCAGGTGCAGACTTCCATCTGTGTCACCGCTGATGAGGAAATACAGCGAGTGCTGGATGGTGCAGTGAGTGACAACAACCCCGCCCACATTTAAGAGGATTGTCTGAACAGACCGAGGGTCTAGGTACCATGTCTGAAGGGTTACTGCTGGGTCCAAAGGTGCTGGACTGAAAGGGTTTGGTGGAGATGGGCTCAATATATTAATATGAGCTGATGATTTTGAGCCTGATTCAGATTTTTGTTCCGGTCTTCCTCTGTCTGATGGGTTGGACCTTAATCAGGTTGACAGCATAATCTGAATTTGACTACATTAAGATCGTTAAGATTTTAGCTTCAACAGTTGAAGATAATAACAGTAAAATATGTGCTTGTTTAACTCAATGAATCTTTTTGGTGGATTACAATAATCAGCTTCACAGACACACACGTACTTGTTGAACAGGTTGAGTCCGATGCGGTATTGGCGCCGCTGCACCACGTCATTGTTAAAGGCGGGAGAATCCCAGCTGTGGCGGCTCTCTCTCTGATAGGTCTGTTTCCCCAGCGTCGCTCCTCCGATTGGCTCCCGCAGGCTGTCGCGTGACGAGGAGCCGGAGCTGCAGTTGTTGACCGTCGTGTCGTCGTTAGAGTTGGTGGTGGTGGAGTTGACGCTCTCGTTGTCTCCATCTGAGCAGAGCAGATGGTGGTGGTGGAGGTGGGGGTGGTGGGCGTGGTGCTGTTGCTGCTGCGCCTCCATGTTCTGGAGAGCAGAGGAAGAGGAGGAGGACAGCGGCGAGGGCGTGAGCGGCGGCGGCAGGGGTGAGAGAGGTGTGAGTGGTGGTACAGGGGAGGGCAGCGGGGAGGAGGGGGGCTCTGGGTAGGCGTGGGGGAGGTGGTGGTGTTGGTGGTGCAGGTGATGGTAGTGGTGTTGGGCAAAGTGGTGAGCGTGCTGGATGTAAGGGCTGCTGCCGTGCACGTGGTGCATGTGCATGATGTGTGGCTGGCTGTACTGCGGGTGGTGGTGGAGGATGGTGGGTAAGTGGGGGATGGGCGATGGGTGGGGGTGAGGGTGGGGGTGTGAGTGTTGGAGTGGGTGGGGGAGCGGGTGTGACGGCAGGGCCCGGGCTGAAGGCATCGGTAAGGGGACGTTGGCGGGGCTGCGAGTTTGTCCCTGCGCCGTGGCGACAGAGCGGCCGTTTGGTTTGTGTTTGATTGTTCCCTGTGGAGAGTAGGCCTCGCTGCTTCCTCCACCTCCTCCTCCTCCTCGCTCATCCTCACCACTCTCTCCTTCGCCTCCTCCCCTCCTCTCCCTCTCTCCTCCTCCTCGTTCGGCTCCTGACGACTCCTGTTCATACACCAGGCGCCCGATAGAGCCTCGCTCTGACCTGAAGAACGAACAATAAAGTTAAAGACATGAAAAATTAAACATGTTGTCCAGAGCGCACTGTTTATATTTTACACTTAATTTTACACCTAAAACAAACGATAGGCAGGTTTATTTTATCGTCACTGGGCAAAAATCCCATAATAAGCATTGAGCGTTTTAAAGTTATCTGAGAGAAAAGTAGATGTCTGCACCTCCTCTTAGGGCTGTGTTTTTTGGGATATAGAAATGCTGATGCATGTGCACGTCCCTTCAGATGGTGAAAGCCTGATTCAATGCTATTTTGCGAGAACATACAGATACATTTGGTCGGGCCTTTTTCTGCAGTGAGCAGATCTTCTGGCTGAGCTTCCTACACTAAAACTAAAGTGCCTGAAACAGTGCAGAGACACTGAGTCTCTGTGGAGCGTGCTAAAAGGCTTAATGCACTTTAATGAGACTTAACTTTCTCGAGCAGTGATTGATTGTTTTGATATAAATGTAAAATAGAGAAGTCTCAGCGTAATCATGAGTAATTTTTCTGAATTGACTTATGAAGGGATAAAAGCATCGAAGCAGGACATAAATGCTCTCTGTGAAGAACGACCTGTGTCGAGTCAGTTTCAGGTCTTTGCAAGTTTATTGTCACAGCTGAAATTAACTGATTCCAGCAGCTGCCTGGAGGGAGGGAAATAAATCAGTAGGAAGTAACTAAGTACATCACTCAGAGTATTTCTCATTAATGCTACTTTGACTCCACGATATCTCACAGGAGAACATTGTTCTTTTAACTGCACTACGTTCATTTAACTGTTTTTAATTTTGTTTTAAATGTGTGTAAAGTTTGTAAAGTTACAGTGTGTGATCTCTGACGAAGCTCTCTGATTGGCTGTGCTGACCTGTCACTCATGTCCACTGAGCTGTCACTGGGTGGTTCGATGGTCAGGACAGGGAGGTGTCCCCCTCCTCCTCCTGCCCTTCCTCTGTACTCCCCTCGACACTCTGTGCAGGGGGTGCTGCTCCTCCGGCTGGTGTTGCTGCCTCCCTCTGTCTCTCTGCTGTCCTCCCTCCCCCCTGCGACTCCTCCTCCGCCTCCTCCCCAGTACTCTGTGTCAGAGCTGGAGGCGGGGCGGGACAGTGGTGAGGACGGCGGGCGCGAGAGCGGCGAGGAGGGGAGACAGCCCTCGTCCATGTAGAGGGTGACATCACTGAAGGAGGTGGCGGTGCTGTCCTCGTGCATGGCGGCACCTCCTCCCACGCCTCCTCTCCCTCCTCCCACTACTGCCCGGCCTGCCACGCGTCGGGCAGATGCGTTGGTGTTGCGCCATGCGCACTCTCTGTAATCCTCGTCCTCGTCTTCCTCCTCGTCCTCCTCCCCTTCCTCCTCCTCCTCTTCCTCTTCTTCATCTCCCTCTTCCTCGTCCTCCTCGTCGTCCTCCTCTCCCTCTCCTCCCGCTTCCTGTGAGTCTTCGCGGCCTGACTGGCAGGTGAGGGAGTCGTCCATGGAGTCGGCCAGAGACTTTACCTGCAGTCCAACACAGAGGCGAAACAAACACGTCAAACATGCACATAATGTAAGGTCTCAGATTTATTTACCTGAATTTAGACCAGACTTACATTATCTCTCCTCTTTAAAAGTATATTTCATAATTCATAATTCTTTCATAACCCATCTTGAAATCACCATATTGTACATTCCCACAGCTCTAATTCCATCAGTGCAACAACAGTCTTGTCATTTTCTATTCATTCATTCATTCATTGCGTCTCCTCTGCTGCTCTTTTGTCCATCGCTGAAACTCAACACTTCCTGCACGGATTTTTCACATTAAAAGATTTCTTCAGCTCAAATAGAGTAACTCCTCCTCTCTCCCCGCAGGTTTTTGGTTTGAAACATCTACAGAGTTTGACAAAGAAAAGCTGACAGCTGATGTCATGTGACCTAAGTGTGAAATTTCATTAACTTTCACATTAACAACTGAGCTATCTTCATCTATGGAGGAAGACGGCTGCTGTTGTGTCTCCAATCAGATACTTCTGCACTCAAAGCGCTTTTACACTACAATCACATTCACCCATTCAGACACCGGTGGCTGAGGCTACATGGTGTCACCTGCTACTCAATTTTTAACACACTTTTGATGGGACAGCTGTCACGAGTAATTTGGGGTTGCTTGGCAGACTGGAGGAGCTGGGTATCGAACCACTGATCCACTGATCTTCTGATTAGTGGGTGACCTGCTGTATCCTCTGAGCCACAACCACCCTTGTACTTAATGTTTTGAGTGCATAAGTCTGTCACACTTAGAATATGGCAAAACACAGTGTTGGCAAAGTTGAGTGTGGAATGTTACAACACTTCTCGCCCTCAGTGGTCGCCATGTTGCCTACGTAACAGAAGAGACGGGACTACAAACACATTTCAAACTTGTGAGATGGGGAGGAGACAGTGAACACCAAAGCATTGTACAAATATACATGTGCATTTTTCACTGCCCCTATACTGCTGCTGGAGAGATGCCATGAGTTGGTTTACTGGGTTAACTCTGTAATAATTTGGTACCACCAACAATAATGTATACTAATGTTAGCCTGATAGCTAGCAAGCAAATATTTTGTTGAGTGACAATCATTAATGCTCCGCCCAGTTGCAATTCACTAAGCAGAAGAAGAGAGGCTGTCCAATCTGGTGCTCTTAATTTATGGTATGTGTGCAACCGCCATGTTTGATTTGAGACAGCACTACCCTGGCAAAAATATGGCATCATGCAAGTAAGTAAATCTCCTCTTTCCAAGTTCAGGAATTTCATGTTCAATCTGCAGGAAGTGTTGAGTTTTATCGTCAGCATCAACCGAACCTAACCCTAACCCTAACTTTTGTCTAAGGATTTACAGTATAACAGCAGGTGATGATATACTGTTCAAGCTATGTTTAACGCCGAGAAGGTGACAAACAGGTGTGTTTACCTGCTTGGAGAAGGAGTCGTCCATGTCTCCTGTGTCGTCTGAGCCCTGCTGACCTGCTGACCCCTGACCCTGCGGCTGACGTTCATCAAATGAGTACTGGACCCACAGAGGAACAGACACACATGCACATTTGTACTTCTTGTTGTGTGTTTATGTGTCCTGTATATACAGAGTTTATATATGTGTGCGTACCTGCATCCTCATGTTGGACAGGATGATGCGGCGAGTCATCCTGCTCTCCGAGGCGGAGCTGCGAAGCCTCTCGAAGTTCTTGTTCATGCGATACTGCCTGAACGCCGTCTGGATGGTTCTTGCCGCCCGCCGGGACACAAACTGGCCCCCGTACTTCCTCTCCAGCATCTCCACCTATCAGGCAGCAACATCACACATTCAGGCAACCAATCAGGAAACGAAGCACAGAGAGCTTTTTTATTTTGGAAAGAAAAACAAGCTCTGTAACTAATCATTGCATAGAACAAGACAAAATCATAATGAACCCTAGAAGTCAAAGAACAGCTCATACTGAGAGAGAGTGTTGTGGTGGGAGTCAGAATATCCACAACATGCATTTACAGGCTTGGACCTAATACAGTAATGTATGTTTCTATTATTGTTTATGTGCTCAATCAACCTGTGGTCATTTTAGAAAAATAAATGGGTTTTCATCGTTTTTATTTTGTTTTTGTTGCAGTCTGAGTTTATTTCTAAAAGTCAATAGATCCACGAGTGTGTGTAAACCCGAACATACTGACTTCCATAACGGTCCCTGGGTTGAAGCAATGCTTTAGAAGTCAACAAGCTGCTCGCCTGGAGGCAGATATCAGTAATTTGGAAAGTATACTGTTGGCAGACAAAGCAGTGTTTTCTCAGAGAAAACACAACTATTGCTAAATGATCGATTTATTTATCATAGCTCTGTTTTGAGCTGTACTCGTGAAGTAATGGGGTTGTGTTCTCCTTCTTGCCCAGCTTCTGATTTAGAGAAGAAGCCACTGGCTGGCAGGTGCCTGAGCGGGCTCTCGCTTCTGGCGTCAAGCACCCAGCCCACCTGGGCATGACCCGGTCTAGGGACAGTGGCAGGTGGGGGGTTTGACTGGGGTGGTACACCTGTCAAACGGTAATGCCGGTGTCCTAGGGTATATAGGTAAATAGGTAGTTGTACAGCAGCCTACAAAGGCATTTGAAATATCTCTCCTTCTGTTCCTGAGATATGATGTTAAAACATGATGATGTCACAGTGACATTGACCTTTGACCTTTTGGATACAAAATGTGTCCTGTCCCTCGCTTCATTATTTTATCCTATTAGACATTTGTGTGAAATTTTATCATAATCAATGTACGAAATCTTGAATTTTTGGCCAAAAACATGTTTTGTGGGGTCACAGTGACCTTTGACTGTTGATCACCAAATTCTAATCAGTTCATTCTTGAGTCCAAGTGGACATTTGCGCCAAATTTGAGAAAACTCCCTCAACGTCTTCTTGAGATATTGTGTTCACAAGAATGAGACAGATGCAAATTCACAGTGACCTTGACCTTTAACTACCAAATTCTAATGGGTTCATTGTTAAGTCTAAGTGGATGTTTTTGCCATATTTAAAGAAATTACCTCAAGATAGCCTAGAGATAAAGCGTTTACAAGAATGAGACAGACGAGGTCACAGTAACCTTGACCTTTAACTACCAAAGCCTTATCAGTTCATCACTGGGTCCAAGGGGAAATTTGTGCCAAATTTGAATTCCCCCAAGACGTTCTTAAGATATCACATTCACAAGAATGGGATGGACAGATAACCTGAAAACAAAATGCCTTTGGCCACAGCTATCACAGGTGCAGAGGCGTAAAATCATCAGTATCGACAGTGGCTCCCGGCCAAATTTGTTACTAAGCTACGTGTGCGAGCCCACTGGAGACAGGAGACCCAAATTACATAACTAAATTACATACTAACTCGGACAGAAACACACAGTGTTGATCACAGTTTATGTGAGGTCTTAATTTGTTGCCTGCAGCAAACACAGGACGCAACAGTCAGACAGAGCTGGTAAGAAATACAGAAACTGGGAAGCACTAAAATCAAATGTGATGAAATTATGTTGAAGTGCTTCACTGCTGCTAAATAGGACAGGCATATCCTGACACGGCGCTGGGAATCAACCCACGATGGTGTGTGTGTGTGTGTGAGAAACAATAGGTGTGGGTGTTTTGACGTGCATTGTACTCTGCTGTTTAAAAAGGCTGCATCCAACTCAGAGTGTAACAGAAACGATTACATGAACACTCATTGGCTGCGTCTTTAAGTCCATGTTTGTTTCTGAGGACCTGTGAAATGCACTTCCTGTAGCGTTGTACCTTCTTGTCCTGGAGGTCTGTAGAGAGCTCATAGCTGTCAGATAGAGCCTTGCAGCGTTTGCTCTCCTCCTCCTCTTGCTTGCGGAGCGCCAGGCTGGCCGGCTGGTGTCGGCTGCGCTGAGCCCAGGCAAGGCTCGCCGGGCTGGGGGGAGAGATGGGAGAGCTACCCTGAAGGAGGAGGGGAGAGAGAGACAGGATGTTAATTTTTTTTTTTTTTTTTTTTTTAACTTGTATTTATTCACTGGAGGCTGACTGAGTTTCCAGAATGTTTTTCAGCTGTTTCAGATTCACACCCCAGAGTCAGCTGTGAAGAAACTAACAAGTAAAAGCTGCAAAAACACAATTTAAAGCTCCATAAAAGTGAAACTCAGCACACTGACTAACTGTACTTAATTACTTTCCACCTCTGTTGGGAGCTGCAGGGTTCACATTGAACTCCCACTGTAGTTTGTGTGGAAAGGTGCTGTTGCCTCGGTGCTGACCTCCATAACAACCTCCAAACCAGACACACAGGTTGGCCCACTGCCTGGCTTACAGTTACTCCACACAGGCAGAGCTGTGAACCAGCTAACCACAGCTGAGGATGTTAAACAAGTGAAACTAAAACATGTTACAGATATAAATTCACCGTATTTTACCAAAGCAGTTATTAACCAAGGTAAGGTGAATTACTGAATCTGAATTAATTAATGATTTTATAATGAATACTAAGCTTTAGTTACGTCGCTATCACTTGCAGTGTGGGTTATTTTTGTGGTTTTGGCCATTAAAGGCAACAAGCAGCTTTAATTTTACTCCCCCATGAGTCACCATCGCCATGACAACTCAGCGATAAACCACTACACACAGGTTTAAGGAATCGCAACCCAAGTAAGGTCTGTTCAGTTAAACACAGTGTTACCAGATTTATAATCATTTTTCTATCATAATTCAGCCCAGTGCTTGATGCACGATAAAAAGCTTACTTCTAAAAACCTCTAAATGTATGATAATTTCAACATATGATATTTCATAAACTAGGGATGCACAATAATATGGGAACGTCATCGGTATTGGCGGGTATGCTTTTCTTATTTTGCACAATGAATGAATATCACATACATTAAAAAAAGAGTTCTATTTCATGTCTCCATCTGCTGGTGGGCCGTCATGATAAGTGTATGCATGTTTAATATGATGTTAATTCCACTACAGAAGAGACGTGATGATCACTAAATCTGGGGGTAAAAAGTGGATATATCGATGTTGGTATCACTTATTGGTCAAATGAGTTGCTGCATATTGGCATATCGGATATTGGCCAAGAATCCAATATCGTGATCCCTATGATAAACGGTGAAATGGTAGAGAGCTGAGGAACCAGGCTGATTGTTCATTGTACTTTAACCACTGTATGTCAATAATGTATTGTATCAAACCGGCCTTGAATCTGTCATTTGTCAAATGATTTAATCACATCTCTGCTGTGGCTGCAGTGAAATACTGGTTTCAAGGTGAACCATGATATAAGGATCGGATCAGGTATCGGCACAGATCACATTATTGTTACAAAATCGGAATCGGTAATAAAAGATTGGAGGAATGAAAACAACAAACACGGCCAGGTTTTTCATCTACGTTGTTTACTGTTGCCTCCACTTGCCAATGTACTGTAACCGAGCGTCCTGGGTTCGCCTAACTGAGTGCAGCTAATAAGCAATAAACCAACAGGAGTCGAGACAACAGGTTCAGCAGCCACCGCTTCCCTCTTTATTCTGAGCAACACCTAATGGCGGAACCTCGCCTACCACAGCCCTACGGCAGCTCTGGAGGGACAATTTGTTTACAATTCAGAATCTGTTTACATTTTGTGCTGCTGAACCACCGATCAGCTTTTTGGATACTATTCAAATAAAAAACAAACCTTATGGGACAACTTGGATGCATTCTTTTTTTTCTTTCTTAATGCTTTGCAAAGTATCGGATCGGACTCGGTTTCAAAATAAAGGACTCAGTATTGGATCGGATGCAAAAAAAATGTGATCAGGACATCCCTATATAAAAGTTGATGATTATCATACCTTTTACATTCGCTTGTCTATGATACTGGAAAAAAATGCAACTGGACAGAGAATCTCCCCGTGTAATTTTAGTTATTTTCCAAGTGGAGACTTTTTACGCATATTCCCTAGGGCTGCAACGGTTCACAGTACAATAACCTGCACAGAATATGTTGCAGTTTCACGGCATCACAGTATTACAGAATTTATATTATCAGTCAGAGTAGAGTCCTTTTCTGAGGCGGTTATCGTAATATGAAAAACTCCTACTGTTGCAACCCTAGGAAGTATGTGTAAAAAGTCTCCCCTTAGAAAATAACTAAAATAAAGTGGAGAAGTAATTTGTGCATAACCCACGTATTTGGGAAGGCTGTGATCACATGACCAATGTGCTGATGGGAGTATAGAGGAAGCGGTCCAGTCAGGAGGCAGGTTGGGGTGGTGGATGGGTCACAAAACACAGGACTTTCCTCCGAGACTTTCCCCAGGAAAACGATGTTTGGTACAGTTACACCATGTTTCTTCTCCTTAACTTTCCACGTTAATTTTACTTGTCTAAGCCTGAAGATGCTCAACCTCTGTAACTTTACGTTAAGTACGTAATGTCATTTGTGGGACACTAATTCGTAATATATCATAAAAAATGTTGTATAAGGATGTGTGGAACAGCCTTCGTATTACTATTCCTCTTTAATACTTTTTTGTTAGATAGTCATCTGTCTGATTTGGCAAAGATGCATGATGTATTTGGTTTACATGGGGTAAGAGCTCATTTATGCTCAAGTTAGATACGAAGACGGACGGAGCCCTCTGTCTGTAATCTGTGTTCATTTTGTTCATATTTGTGCAGGTTTTCTTAAAGCTTACAGATACAGACGAAACTGAGCAGTACCACTGGAGAGAGTGAAGGCAGTGTAGTGCAGTTAAAGTGAGATACGACCATAGGACACAATGAGAAATTTATATAGCTGTGGAACGGGATAAATCTATAACATATAATAATATATAGTGAAAATAGTGAAATGAATTCTCCATCCATGTGTCAGGAAGTATTTAATGGCCACACAGACCACTGCCGTGCCCAACGCTGGCTCCATTTAAAGGTACAATATTACAACCTCCACTGTCCCCTCGTTCGTTGTTGTCCGAGACTTCTGACTCCGCCCTCTAGTGCCATTTATCATCCGTATCTACGCCATCATGAAGGAAGCAGGGAAGTATATGGACTTATCTATACTCATACATAAAGGGAGTATAAATGAGCCTTGTGTCATCAGGAGAACATCTAGGACATAACGGATTTATTTTACATGGGTGACCTTTAACAAAACAGTAAAATGTCAAACTTCCTCAAACTAATCCAGCGGACAGATGATTTACTGTCACTTCCTCAACATGGCGACACTTCCTGTCGCATGATGCTTCACGCGGTTTCACACATTAATGAATGTTCACTGGTGTTTCATGTGTTAGTGTGTGTGTTTGAGGGTCAGTACCTGTGTGTGTGTGTGGGAGGCTCCCAAGGGCCCGCTGGTGGAGGCGGAGCTGTAGGGGTCACAGGGGCTGGAGAGAGGGGTGTTGCTATAGCGATGGAAGGGAGGCGGGTGGCCAAAGGACGGATCAGAGAAAGTGAGTGCCTCCGGACACTGAGAGTCGCCCTCCACACTGAAAGAGAGAAAGAGAGGAGGTGATGAATCAGGTCAAATCATCAACTGAGATGTTTCATTAACACGTTTGTTTCCTGTCATGATTTTACTGAAATAAACAACATAAGACATGCAAGACTTGAACTAACCAGACTTATCGATTTTCCACCAGCTCTGAATCATAACACTGTGGTGTATATGCACCAGACATGGGGGAAAGTCGCACATGTGCAAGTCACAAGCAAGTCTCAAGTCTTTACCTTCAAGTCTCAAGCAAGTCCCAAGTTAGTTGTGGTGAGAATCAAGCAAGTCAAGTCCCTGCTATAAGTCAAGCAAGTCAAGTTGAGTCATTGCTCAGGTCAGCTAGCGCCTTTGTGTTTGATAACATTGTTGAACGTAAACAGAAGTGACGCCCAACGGTGCTTAGCGTGCCTTTAATACTGAATTAAAGCCAAGTCCTTTCGAGTCATCTATCTCAAGTCAAAGTCAAGTCTCAAGTCATGAATACAATGTCAAAGTCAAGTCAATTCTTTTATCAACGTTAAGCAACAATCAAGTCATCATATTTGCAACTCAAGTCTGACTCAAGTCAAGTCATGTGACTTGAATCCCCCATCTCTGGTATGCACTGTGGTAAACATTCCTCTGTCTCACTGGCACCCAGATCTACCTGCTCATACCTTTGCTCAAATCTAGATTTTTGCTGGCTGTTGCACAAACTACAGATTGTACTTCCACATTTTGTTGTATGCCTGCCACCACCGATGCAAAGAGTACAGACCTGGATCGAGACAGAGCGCTTAACTAGGCAGTGCTGACTGAATATAAACCAAGATCCAGATCCTGTGTTACCTATTTCTCACCTAAAATGTCTTAAGAAACATATTTTGGTGCAATAGTTGGCTGTAATACCAGAATTTGTAAACGGGAAGTTGGCCCCATACTGTTTCCCGTATTGTAAAAAGGAAGCCAGAAAAGAACTGAGCTAAAACTGTACAACTAAGCTGTGTTGATCAAATATGAACCAGGATTCTGTTCCTGCGTTGCCTTTTTCTCGCCTCAAATGTTTTCAGAAACATATGGCAGTGTCCTGTTTAATTGTAATACAAGGTGGTTTGTTACCAGCCGGAATTTTTTTTTACACAAATCTCCATTAACCAAATGTCTTCAAGTTTCAGTTGTCGTAATAAAACGTTTGTTCAACCAACAGTAACCCTCCTGTTTTCATTCCTTTAAGAGTCATTCAGACTGATGATAATATCAATTCTGTAAAACCATGATACAGTGAGACCATGATATTTTCTGAGACAGTTATCATACTGTGAAAATCTCAGACTGTCGCAACCCTAGTTATGTCACTTATCAGCGGAAGCGTTTATTTGTCCGGTGTGGTGCAGTGCACTCTGATCGTTGCAGGTAAAACCAGAGCAGCTCTACCTTCCTCTCTGATCAGGTGACAGCTCGACAACCGATAAACTCTTTGCTCACTGGTTCCTCTGAGAGACACTTTATTGTCAGCGACTCCGCCTGCCTACACAGATTACTGCTCAGAGAAATAACACAATGACCGATGGATGATCAATCAATTAAATGATGAATTAAGGAGAAGACGAGAGGAGAGAAGAGAGAAGGACAACGTGTGTGACGGACAACATTAGTTTGTGTGTGTCATCATCAAAGGGGCTCTTCAGTGTTAATCTAAGACACCCGTGAAGCTGGCACCGAAGCTAACGTGGGCACTGCCAAGCTCACACACACACACACACACACACACACTGAGTCACATGACAGTGACTCATGACTAACAGCAGTATGTGTGTGTCTGTGTGGGTGTGTACAGTGTATATGAATGTGGGTGTACAGTGTGTTGTGTTTGTGAGAGACCCAGCATGAGTGTGTGGGAGACACTGGATGTGTGTGTGTGTGTGTGTGTGTGTGTGTGTGTGTGTGTATACTTGTACTTGCTACATAGTGAGGACCAACACACGTTTGCAACCATCACAGTGAGGACATTTCTGGACATTTTAGCTGGTCCTCACTTCTTGATGAGGGTTAACGCTAGTTTCAAGGTCCAATTTAGAATCAGGTTTCAGTTAGGGTAAGGGTTGGGTGTAGGCATTTAGCTTTGATGGTTAAGGTTAGGGTAAGGGGCCAGGGAATGCATTATGTCAATGAGGGTCCTCACAAAGATTGATGTGCAGGGATACATTTGTGTGTGGACATTTTGGCCGGTCCTCACTTCTAAAAAGTCCTGTCCAAGTATTGATGCTTGATTCAAAGGTTCAGGTTAGAATCGGGTATAGGTAAGGGTAATGCTGAAAACACACCGATGCCAGCACACACTGGATGCGTCACGCTGCAGCTCATCAACAAACGACAGCGCAAAAAACAAAACAAAAAAAAACAACCTACTTCTACTGAAAGATCTGTACTTCCTCTACCTCTGCATTAGCTTAAAACCATGTGTGGACAGCCCCTCATTAAACTCTATTCCCAAGCCGACGAGCCGATCTCCAGAGCTGTGACTCATCAGGAAGTACTATACAGACACTAGTCTGGCTACTGTCTTACATGACACTGAACTCTGAAAGAGAGATGTTTGTTTCCTGTATTATTCCATAGTTGGGTATCAGCATGTGCACATGTTTGTCATCTGGCATGATTTAATATGTTCAACATGGAACCCATTCGGTCTTGTGGATAGGTGACTCATCTTTTTTGTCTTTTTCTGTCCCTTTTGGTCTTGTAATTTAAGGATACTTATTTAATTGTTTACTGGTATTGTTTGATCATTATATTGTGATTATTATATTATTATATTATTATATTATAGAGGAATTACACTTTTTTCATGTCATTATTTTGTTTGTATCTGGATGTTTACATATGTATTTATACTTGATCTGTTCAATATTTTTTTGATCAGTCACTGTTGAGATAGTTTTTGACGTACTAAGGATAGTCATCTGATTATTTTAATTTTAATTTAATTGGATTGTAGGCTCAGCATACCTATTGGCCACTCTTTGTATTGTCTATATATCTTGTTCTGTGGATCTTTGGGTCCGATTGGTTGATTGACTGATTCATGCCAGCTGGAGTGATTCAGCAAGGTCCTGGATGTTACATATGTGGGCTATACCCACTTTGTGCATTAACACTGAGGAAAGCCAAGTACTGAAAAACATCCGTTTGTGATACTGCTGTGCGTTATTAAAAGACTGATAAATATGATATTTGTGAGTGCTGACATTTGGATTTATTCAACTCGTCAGGAAGTAACTTTTTGGCCATTGTCTTTATAATGATGGGATCGTGGGTCGTTTAGCTCGGGATATTTCTCAACCTCAACAACGAGTCTCGCCTCATTGATTCTCTGTCAAGCAGGAGACACAGCAACAGCTACAGAGTTCTCTTTATACATCGATGGTGAGGAGAGGAGTCTAGCTGCCACAGGAGCAGAGAGACAGCGCTGCTACGAGAGGACAATGGCATCAAGTACCACAAGGCGGCGCCCAGGAGCACCACCAATTTGCTTTGGCCTGGGTGTAAGCATTCAGCTTTGATGGTTAATGTTACGGTAATGGAGTAGGGAATGAATTATGTCAGTGAGGGTCCCTCACAAAGATAGATGTAAAGGAATGCATGTGTGTGTTTTTACTTGTAGTTGCTACAAAGTGGGGACTAACAAACCTTTATAACTAACAGAGTGAGGACATTTTTGGAAAGTGAAGACATTTTGACCGGTCCTCACTACTATAAAGTCCTGTTTGAGTATAAATGCTTGGGTACAAGGTTCAGGTCAGCATTAGGTATAGGTTAAGTTTAGGATGAGGGTTATGGTTAGGCATTTAGTTGTGATGGTTGAGGTTAAGTTAAGGGGAATGTACAGTGTCAGTGAGGGTCCTCAGAAAGACAGATGTACAGAAGAGTGTGTGTTTGTGTCAAAGATGAAGAAGAAGCTAAAGTAAAGACGTTATTCTGGATGATGTTGTGTTTACATCCCTAAACTTGGATGTATTATATTCTCTCTCTCTCTCACTCACACACACACACACACACACACACACATACACAGAGCCAAGATGACTGCACTCATAAATCCCAGTGAGACCCTGCAGTAAAAACTGAGAGGAAGGTACTCTAGATAATTGCTAACTGTCTCTCCCTCTCATCATCGTCATCATCATCTTTCTTTCTCTCCTTCTCCATCACTCCATCATTCTGCCTCTCCTCCTTCAGGCCTCCTCCTCCTCCTTCTTCAACTCTTCCTTTTTTTTCTTACCTTTTAACTTTCTCTCTTCTTTCAAGTCATCTCCTCCTCTCCTCCCACCACCTCACTCTCTCTCCTCACATATGTTCTCCTATTTCATCCCCCCTTTTCCTTCTTCCTGTTTTTCCCATCACTTGTTTTCAGCTCCTCCGTCTTTTCCTTTCCTCACCTTTCCTTCATTTATTTTCCTCCCCTTATCCTTTCCTTTCTCTCCTCTCCCTCCTATTCCCCTCGTTCCTTTCCTATTTTTGCAAATTTCCCTCTCCCCTTTTCCTTCCTCCTCCTCTTTCTTGTGCTCCTCTTCTCTCATCTATTATTTCCCTTTCTCCCATCATTTGTTTGCCTCTCCTCTGTCCTTTCCTTCCCCTTCCTTTTCTCCTCTACTTTGCTCCTCTCCTCTTCAAATCATTTTGTTCTCCTTTCCTCTCCATTCCCCTATCTCCTTTCCCTTTGTTGCATAGTTTCCTCTCCTTTCCTCCTATTTCTTTTCTCCTCTCATCTATCCTTACCTTTTCCTTTCTTTCCTCTTATATCCTTTCCTCCTCTGTCTCTTTACTCTTTTCATGTTCCTCCCCACACTTTCTTTCCTTCCTCTTCTCATCATTTGTTCACTTCTCATCTGTTCTCTCTTTTCCACTTTCCTTCATCTCCTCTGATCTCTTCTCCTCCTCTTCCGTTCATTTACTTTTTTGCTTTCCTCTTCTCCAGTTTCCTTTGCTTTCATTATTCTCCTCCCCTCTCCTCTC